TGCCTCTGGTTACCAGTTTGTGGAAATATCAAGGCCTCTATATATCAGCACAAAGAGGGGCACTGTCCCCCTAACCTGAACTGAGAATGATTAAAAGGCATTTGAGATTTTTTTTATTATGAATACAGTGTACTGTCTATATGTAGACATGCCAGAAGAGGGCACCAGATCTCATTACAGATGGTAGTGAGCCACCATGTGGTTGCTGGGAATTGAACTCGGGACCTCTGGAAGTGCAGTCAGTACTCTTAACCTCTGAGCCATCTCTCCAGCCAGGCATTTGAGATTTTAAAAACAGCCCTGATTTCAGCTCCAGCCCTAATATTTCCAGATGTCTCAAAGCCTTTTCATGTTTGTTCACAAAAGACATTACAAAAGGGGTTTTAACCCAAACTTTGGGGCCATGGAAAAACCCTGTGCCGGAGCTGTGGGATGCCTGCTAGGATAACTGCGAGCAGGGAGTGGAACCAGCCCGAGAGAAAGACGTGTGTTGAGTCAACAAGGCTGAAAGGAGTTGGGGACTGAAGAGTGCTTTGGCACCAGACACGGACACGCAGTCGGGTTGTTTGCCCAGCTGGTTGGCAGTCGCTTTGGTCCAGTGCCTCTTCACTGTGCTCACTTCCCTACGGTTTGGAACAGTAATGTGTATATATCCTGCGCCACTACATGAGGCAGGTGGATCTGTGAGTTCGAGGCCAGTCTGGTCTATAGAATGAGTTCCAGGACATCCACGGTTGTTACATAGAGAAATTCTGTATTGAAAAACAAACAAACAAAAAGAAGCTTGTCCAATAGCTCAGGTTTGTTACTAGCTAAAACATTTAAATTAACCCATATGTCTTATCTATGCTCTGCCATGTGACTTTGTACCTTTTCTCAGTATAACATGCCCATCTTGCTTCTCCCTTGACTCCTCTGACTCCGCCCTCTTCTTCCCAGAATTCTTTGAATCTGGTTTTCCCTCTCAACTTTATTTTGGCCAGTCAGCTTCTTTTTTGGTTTGAGACAGGGTTGTTTTTTTGTTTTTGTTTTTTTCTTTTTTTGACAGGGTCTTTTTTTATAGCTTTGGAGCCAATCCTGGAACTCACAGAGATCTACTTGCCTTTGCCTCCCAAGTGCTGGTAGGCTAGCCCTCCCCCTTATTCTGATACCTGCTATTCTGCCTTTTGGGCTAATTCATCTGGATAATAGCAATATCACTGAGACTCTGAAACTTCTTGGTGGGCATGTACCAATGGTTCAACTAAATGTGCCTCTTCTGATGCTCTCAAAACTAAGTAGGTTGATCAGGACCTAGAGGTATTAAAACAACAGGTGTACTCCCTTGCAGAAATGATGCTACAAAATTTGAGAGGCTTAGATTTCTCATGTGCTAAAAAACAAAAACAACAAAACCATGTATAGCTTTGGGAGAAACCTGTTGTTTCTATATGTCACGTCTGCTGCGCGGCCTGTGTCCGAGAACGTGCGGAGGGTGTCGGGTATTGATAACACAGAGACTCGTTCAATGATATAAAGAGAACTTTAAACAGGCTCCAAAAAGGTTCAAGAAAAACTTCCTAAGAAAGGCTCCCACCAGAGAAGCTTCTGCTCTCTCCTCTACCCTCGCTGGTTCTGCTCTGACCCAGAGGTGGATGTGTGTGGGTTTTTGAAGGTGCGGTTAGTCTTTGGACAAGGTCGAGGTCAGGGCGGTTTCTGTGGGAAGGCCTTTCCCAGGAACTTATTGTATCATTTTTAGTAAACATGTTTTTACTAAACATTGTCTTACAGCTGCCTACTCCCAGGCAGAAGGGGAAGTGGCCAGGAACTTATTGTATCGTTTTTAGTAAACATGTTTTTACTAAACATTGTCTTACAGCTGCCTACTCCCAGGCAGAAGGGGAAGTGGGTCTCTGCTCAAGGTCTGGTGTTCCCACATCTATACTAATTGATCAGGAGTAATTAGAAAAATCTTGCCAGGCTGGAGAATGGCTCAGAGGTTAAGAGCACTGACAGCTCTTCCAGAGGTCCTGAGTTCAATTTCTGACAACCACATGGTGGTTCACAGCCATCCATAATGAGATACAGGTAGAATGTTGCATACATAACGAATATATATATATATTATTTAAAGCAAAGAAAAAAAATCTTGCCATGGTTGGGAAATAACCAGTTTTTCTTCTCTTGGTCCCCCTAGCTAACTACTCTGCTATCAGCACTAGCTGGGCCTTTAATTCTCATTCTGCTTAGAAAAACACTGGGACCCCTCATCTTAATTTTAAAAAGGTTGAGTCCATGATTTGACTCACTCACTAAGACCAGTGGGGAATGTTTAACGGGGCCCTAGACTTTAGCACATCTGACTCCATGATGGAAGTGATATTCAGGCCATAAAATTCAGCATGTAAACAGCACCATCTGGGCCGGGCGTTGGTGGCGCACACCTTTAATCCCAGCACTCGGGAGGCAGAGGCAGGCGGATCTCTGTGAGTTCCAGGCCATCCTGGTCTACAAAGCGAGTTCCAGGAGAGCCTCCAAAACAATACAGAGAAACCCTGTCTCGAAAAACCAAAAAAAAAAAAAAAAAAAAAAAAAAGCACCATCTGGTAAAAATGAAAACAAAATCCACCAAAGCCTATAGTTCTGGGAAAGTCTCTAAATGTCAACCCAGGACATGTTTTTTTGGGGGGGGGAGGGGTGGGGGCGTGTTTCCGTGACAGGGTTTCTCTAAGGCTTTGGAGGCTGTCCTTGTTGTTGTAGACCCGCCTGCCTCTGCCTCCCAAATCGTGAGCCACTACCACCACCTGGCCAGGACATGGTTTGTTTGTTTGTTTTTTACGAGACAGGGTTTCTCTGTGGCTTTGGAGGCTGTCCTGGAACTAGTTCTTGTAGACCAGGCTGGTCTCGAACTCACAAAGATCCGCCTGTCTCTGCCTCCCAAGTGCTGGGAATAAAGGCGTGCGCCACCAACGCCCGGCTTAAAAAATTATTTTTAAAGTTATGTATATGATCACATGAATGCAGGTATCCATCCAATAGAGCCCATCGGATTCCCTGGAGCTGGAGTTACTGATGGTTGTGAGCCACCCTTCCTGGGTGCTTGGAACTGACCTCAATTTCTTTGCGAAAGTATCAAGTGTTCTCTACAGCTCCTATAATTCAATTTTGACAAAAATGACATAATAGTAGGTATTTATTGCAATGTATAGTTTTTCTGATCCTGGATATTGGAAGGTATTAAAAGGCCCTAAAGTTGCTGGGCAGTGGTGGTGCACACCTTTTTTTTTTTTTGGTTTTTACGAGACAGGATTTCTCTGTATTGTTTTCGAGGCTGTTGTCCAGCCCAGCCTCGAACTCACAGAGATCCGCCTGCCTCTGCCTCCTGAGTGCTGGGATTAAAGGCGTGCGCCACCTCCGCCCGGTTGGTGGTGTACATCTTTAATCTCATCACTTAGGAGACAGAGAAGGAAGAGCTCTGTAAGTTGGAGGCCAGCCTGGTCTACAGAGCTAGTTCCAGGACAGCTATGGCTATTGCAGAGAACCTGTCTCAAAATAAAACAAAAGGACCCACACTATTCCTCCACAGCCTCAGATATCTGAATACTGGATCCCCAGTTGATGATCTGTTTTGGGAGGCTTAGGAAGTGTGGCCATGTTCAAAGAGCTATGTACTAGGGCCAGACTTTGAAGTTTAAGATGTGAGCTGTTAGCTCTACCATTCCTGCTTGCTGAATGCTTCCCTGCCATGACGGTGGACTCATACCTATGGAACCTTAAGCCCAGATACACACTTCTCCTATAAACTGTCTTGGTTATGTTGTCTTATCACAGTAATACATGTCAAATGTGCTACTTTAATCATGTCCCTAATGTCTGCCAAAGCCCAAATGTCCCTACTATGTCCCTTTCATTCTTTCATGAATTGGATTTCAGATAGACTACTACATGGTTATAACTAAGACAAGAATATTTCATGATTGATCTACCAGAATGCTAAAAATTAGGAATAGAATGTTAGTTTAGGAGCGAACACAAAACCATGTAATTCCAGTATTATTTCTACCTACAAATGAGATGGCAACTGTGACATTCTGACTTCCTTTTCCTTACTCTTATCACAGACAGAGCCCCAGAGTCAGCCTCTGGAGACATGCAGACATCTTTAAGTGCCTGTCCAAGGCTGGAACAGTTGCTAAATATTATATTATCAGTTTCTAATCCAGTTCATGAAACTCATTATATTTCTTTTTTTTTTTTTTTTTTTTTTTTTTTGGTTTTTCGAGACAGGGTTTCTCTGTAGCTTTGGAGGCTGTCCTGGAACTCACTTTGTAGACCAGGCTGGCCTCGAACTCACAGACATCCGCCTGCCTCTGCCTCCCGAGTGCTGGGATTAAAGGCGTGCGCCACCAACGCCCGGCGAAACTCATTACATTTCTAATTATGTGTAGACAAGCAAGTTAAGATGTTGTTTCAGGTAACACACTTTTATTTTCTTTATGAAGCATCAGTCTACCTACCTACCTAAGACAGGGTTTCTCTGTGTAGCCCTGGCTGTCCTGCCTTATAAGCACTGGGGTTAAAGATGTGTGCCACCACTCCTGGCTTGCGAGTGGTGGTTTAGATCTTAAGCCTTGGTCCTGCATTCAGAATGGTGTGAAACTTCAGAGAGACTCACCAAGTAGGTAGTCACCCTGCCACAATCCATATAATTTACATGAGGATATGAGTTTGGTTGGACATTTGAAAACAGATAAGCACACAGGAAAGACATCCAACTCGTGTTTTCTCAACAAAGCTATAGCTGAATACCCTACCTCATCAATGTAAAGCTTGTTATTGGGGTATTTCAAAGCCAAGTTGGAGCTGGTTTCCTCATCACTTGTCCTAAATAATACACTTCAACCTCAGAAAACTAGATAGTATGTTACAGCACATTGCCCATTAATTCTGCTCAAATCTTAGGAACTGTGTCCCCAACTATGGAGGCGCTTGTATACACAAATACACACAGGCTGTAAGTATGTGGTTACTAAGTTTAATCCAACCATTATACCCATTTCTGCCTCATAAAAATAACAAAACATTACTATCAAAATTACATTATGATGTAAGGACAGGTTTCTTGCTGACATAGTGCTAGAAAAATGTTGGCACCAAATGCACTTAAGGCTTAATGCAAGTGATAACTGTGTAACTTCTGTGTAACATTGGATTTAGCTGGGCAGTTCCTCCTCCCAGGAGGCAGAAAGCCCATGTGCTAAGCCCAGCTTCAGAGAAAGAGACAGAAAGACAGGGGAGTTGAATAAGGCAGTTGCTGTGAGTCACTGTCTCAGGGCCCCGTATCCTCTCAGCCACCCAGGCCAGCAAGTGGCGTTTGGAGCTTTTCTCTCACTGGGCTAATCGCAGGGCCAGCACAGTGATGTCAGATTCCTTCTTGACAATGCAATTTGGAATTCACAAATCATTTTCTACTTAAGAAAGCAGTTACAAAAGGTTTATTTCTATCATTGTATTATTTCCTTATAAGTTAAAGACATTAGTGTCTGGGCTAAATAAAGCAAACATTTATGACATTTTCTTAAATGGAAAAAATGCTCTGAATTCCAAATGACATCCTCATGACTGAACCACAAACCATTTGAGTTGTTACAGAATTACACACATGTAATACATGTTTTTTAGCTTCAGGATACAGGGCAACTGAAGGGGAAAAACTCTTTGGTTGACAAAGCCATGGTCAGAACTTTCAATGAACCAGGTGTAGGAAACAGGACTTGGCAGGTGGCTCCTGCAGGCACTTAAGCATCTAGGTCAATATAAGTGTGACTGCAAATTTTTGCTTTCCAAAATTTAACGAGGGCATTTCTGGCATCTGCTATGAAGCTCTGTAGGCACTAGAAATAAAAGCAGCACCACTTAGCCATTTTTACAGATGCCCACCGGAAGCGGAAAAGAAGGAGCTATGTTTGCAGCCCTTGAGGGCTGACCAGGAGGGACATGTGCCCAATATGAAATAACATAACTGGCAGCAGCATGACTGGAGCCCACTATCTCTGCTGCCAAATGACAGTTGCAGCCTTATTACCAAAACGCATAAGACCCAGGCCCAAGGAGCACTGTTTATGAGCAAGGTTGAGAAGTCGGAAGCAGCTCCTCTGCTTTGGTGGACCACAGTGATGTTTTTCTAGGTGTTAGGAAGCCACATGGGTATTCATAAGAAACCTCTGCAGACTGGTAAAGAAACCCATCCATCCCAGTATCCTTCAGCAGATCTTCCTCTCAACTACAGGAACAAAGCAAGACAGGGAAACCAAGAATTCATTCACCCAATACCCAGACATATCAGAGTAGTTTTTTAAGTCCTGCAGAGGCCTGAGACCGTATGTATAGGAGAACCATGGACAGCAAGAGCCCCCTCACAGGTGAGGAACTAAGGCCCAGACTTAAGGCTTATGAGAGAAACAAAAGGAACAACCCACATGCAAATCTGGCATGACAGGAACCAAGCCAACCACAGAGGAAGACAGGCTGCTACCTAGACCTAGCCACGGTTTTAGGTGCAGGAAGGAGACAATTCAGAGGATCAGGGTATAAAACCTTCCATTCAGGACAAGACTTAGAATAACTGTTTGATTTTCTGTTGACTGCTACCAAAAAGATCAGTCATGTTCCAACACTATAGGGTGATGTACTGAGGGGAAGAAAGGGGAGGAGACACTAGGGTTCAGAGGTAATCTCAGAGGTGGAAACATTTTGGCGATAGGCATTCCCTGAAAGGAGAGGTTATGTAGACTGCACTCTGTCTTTAAGAGTTCCTGTTTATGTGTTTCTACTCCATCCCACAGTGAGGGACAGGTAGACTGGGTTTTATTTTCCGATCAAACCATTCTTACATGCCCAAAAGCCAGCAGACTGCTGATACAAGGACAAGACAGACCCTAGTGATCCTTTTGCTAATGGGTACCATCTCTTCTGCCCTCCCCAGAACCTTACTGTTCTACACAGACCAACTAGAGAGGAAGCATAAGAACATCCCATTTTATCCCCACAGATGTGTATCTTAGCAGTGTGGAAGGCACAGTCCTCTCTGCCACTTTTCCAATGGCAACAAGACCCATGAGCAGCCAACCCACACGCATGACAAGCCCTCTCCCACACGCATGACAAGCCCTCTCCCACACGCATGACAAACCCTCTCCCACACGCATGACAAACCCTCTCCCACACGCATGACAAACCCTCTCCCACACGCATGACAAGCCCTCTCCCACACGCATGACAAACCCTCTCCCACACGCATGACAAACCCTCTCCCACACGCATGACAAGCCCTCTCCCACACGCATGACAAGCCCTCTCCCACACGCATGACAAACCCTCTCCCACACGCATGACAAACCCTCTCCCACACGCATGACAAGCCCTCTCCCACACGCATGACAAGCCCTCTCCCACACGCATGACAAACCCTCTCCCACACGCATGACAAACCCTCTCCCACCCCGACTCATTTGGGTTAAAGGAAGCACTAACATTTGGCACCCTATCTCTGAGTGTCTGGTCTGATTACAGGCAGAGCTGGAGCCTCTCAATAGAAGGAGATGCTGGATTTGCCTCCTGGTGGGTTCAGGACCTTGTTATGGGAACGAGGTCGTGGTCCCAGTCTGGGCTCATGACTGTCAACCGTAGGTGTAGGCTCTGGTATCTTGGCATGGTCTGCTTCTTTTGAGCTTCCCTTCTCACTCTGGTCTCCTTTGGGTGCGAAGTTTGTTGTAGCTGTGGGACAAAGTCAGCATTTGTCTGTGAGAGGTAGAAACTACACTATGAAGCAAGCTACACTAACTGAAAGTGGCCCAGCATATTGAGTAAGCTCTGAATTCTACTAGGCCCCACTTGGTCTCAAGCCCATGCAGCATTCTGGATCCCTACCCTTCATACTGGCACAAATGAACTTCGAGATCAGTGATTCTCAACCTTTGGGTTGCAACCCCTTTGGGGGTTGAATGACCCTTTCACAGAGGTCACCTAACACCATCGGAAAACACAGATATTTATGACTCATAACAGCAGCAAAATTAGTTATGAAGTAGTAATCAAAATAATTTTTTGGTTGGAGGTCACCACAACATGAGGAATTGTATTAAAGGGTTCCAGTATTAGGAAGGTTGAGAATCACTGTTTTAGAATAAAAAACCTAAAAGTATTACCAGAAGTAACTATGCTCATGATCACTTAGCCTGCCTGCCTGCCTATTTATCTAATGTGTGTTGGTGTTTTGTCTGCATATTTCTGTGTGAGGGTGCAGAATCCCCTGGAATATCACTGTTAGACAGTTGTTAGCATCATGTGAATGACGGGAATTGAACCCAGGTCCTCTGGAAGATGGTCAGTGAGCCATCTGAGCCACCTCTCTAGCCCCTTGGTGACTCTCTTATGCTTGATTTGGTCAGCTATCTTGTAAGACATAGAGGAATGCTACCTTGTTTGCCAAATATACTAGTAACTCTCCTAGCATCAAGTCTCATAGAAGGGGCAGGAAAAACACTTACCGTTCAGGTCAGATTTAGAGTCTTCACCTTCACAGAGCAAAACATGATCCTACAACAAGAAAAACCATCAGCTTAGTGCTCATTCAGGTAGACAAGGATATCTGAGGATGGATGACTGCCTTTTAAAAAAAAAAAATCTGGTCTACCTAAGGCTTGAACCTAGGACCTCATGCCTGCTAGGAAGCAGTCTACCACCAGGCCACATCCTCATGTTCTCTTTTTACTTTTTGAGACAGGATCTCATAAAATTTTCCGAAGTCTAGGCTTGAACTCACGGTGTAGGCAGGCAGGTATTGAACCTCGGCATCCTGAACAGCTAGTGTTATAGACTACACTATATGGTCTGTTTCGTTATTCATTTGTTTTGTTTTTTTGAGACAGCTTTGGAGCCTGTCCTGGAATTTGCTCTGTAGACCAGGCTGGCCTCAAACTCAGAGATCTGCCTGCCTCTGCCTCCCAAGTGCTTGGACTAAAGGCGTGCGTCACTAATGCGCAGCTTATTTGGTTTTGGAGATAGGGTTACTCTGTGTAGCCCCGCCTATCCTGGAACTTGTAGATCAGGCTAGCCTCAAACTCAGCTAGTTCCAGGACAGGCTCCAAAGCTACACAGAGAAACCCCTCTCAAGAAACCAAAACCAAAACAACAACAACAAAATAATTTCCTGTTTTAAAAAGCTATACCTTATTACTCTTTTTTTTTTTAAGGTTTATTTTATTTATTACATATGCAGTGTTCTGCCTACATACCAGAAGAGGGCACCAGATTGAATTGTAGATGGTTGTGAGCCACCATGTGGTTGCTGGGAATTGAACTCATGACCTCTGGAAGAGCAGGCAGTGCTCTTAACCTCTGAGTCATCTCTCCAGCCCCCACCTTATTACTCTTAAAAACAAAAACAAACGGCGCGCCGGACCCTCCATCGGCCGCGGAGCCACTAGGCCCGCCAGGCCCCTGGCGCGGCGCGGCGCAGGCACCGGCTCAGAACCAGGATTGAAATTCCAAGATGGATGATCAGGACCCCGGGGGCATTAGTCCCCTTCAGCAAATGGTGGCCTCAGGAGCTGGGGCCGTGGTCACCTCACTCTTCATGACACCCCTGGATGTGGTGAAGGTCCGCCTTCAGTCTCAGAGGCCCTCAGTAGCCAGCGAGTTGACGCCTTCCAGATTCTGGAATCTCTTCTACACCAAATCTCCCTCTACTCTACAGTCCCCAGGGAAGTGCCTCCTATACTGCAATGGTGTCCTGGAGCCTCTGTACCTGTGTCCTAATGGCACTCGCTGTGCCACCTGGTTTCAGGATCCTACCCGATTCACTGGCACCTTGGATGCCTTTGTGAAGATTGTGAGGCATGAGGGCACTAGGACCCTGTGGAGCGGCCTCCCAGCCACCCTGGTGATGACTGTGCCAGCTACTGCCATCTACTTCACTGCCTATGACCAACTCAAGGCTTTCCTATGTGGCCAGTCCTTGATCTCTGACCTCTACGCACCCATGGTGGCTGGTGCCCTCGCCCGCATGGGCACGGTAACCGTCATCAGCCCCGTGGAGCTCGTGCGGACCAAGCTGCAGGCTCAGCACGTGTCATACCGGGAGCTGGCTACCTGTGTTCAGGCTGCTGTGGCTCAGGGAGGCTGGCGCTCACTGTGGCTGGGCTGGGGTCCCATCGCCCTCCGCGATGTGCCCTTCTCAGCTCTGTACTGGTTCAACTATGAGCTGGTGAAGAGCTGGCTGAATGGGCCGAAAGACCAGACATCTGTGGGCGTCAGCTTTGTGGCTGGTGGCATCTCAGGAACGGTGGCTGCCACCCTTACTCTACCCTTTGATGTGGTGAAGACACAGCGACAGATCACACTAGGAGCACTGGAGGCTGTAAGAGTGAAGCCCCCAAGAATTGATTCCACCTGGCTCCTGCTTCGGAGAATCCAGGCTGAGTCGGGCACCAGGGGACTGTTTGCAGGTTTCCTCCCAAGAATCATCAAGGCTGCTCCCTCGTGTGCCAACATGATCAGCACCTACGAGTTTGGCAAAAGTTTCTTCCAGAGGCTCAACCAGGAACAGCCTCTGGGCTCCTGAAAGGCGAGGAGCAACAGCTCTTGAACGGGCGGGGGCAGGAGTCTGAGCCAAGTGCCTTCCTTCCCAACCCAGTCACCCAGCTACCCTCACATTTTGATTCCTGCTGTTCTCCTTACTAAGATCACCACTTGTCCACCTCCGAGCTCAAGACCAAATGTGACTGACAGCTGCCCCTTTCTTTGTAGCCCCTTTATGTTTGTTGTAGCTTGGCCTCGAGGAATCAAGACCTCGGGCCAGGCAGCCCTGTTTATTCCCCCCCCCCCTAAAGATGATGACCTGTGCACTGCTGTGAAAAAAACAAAACAAAACAAAAACAAACAACAAAACAAACATGGCAGGGCCTTCCGGTGTAGCAGGATTTGTCTTGAAATCTAGGTCTTCCGTTTTAACAATTCTAATACTGAGATCACCATGTTTGTACACAACCTTTCTCCCCCTTCCCAGCCCATGTCCCTGACCACCTACTATCCAGACAATGTTTCAAGTTACCCTGGTGTCAAGACACTGTAGCAGAACATGCCTTGGAACTCTGGGTCTTCCTGTCTCTACCTGTGAGGTGCTAGATTCTACTAGACCTGTGTAACTACATCTGGCTAGACCCTATCTTTTGGCTACTAGAAAGATGGAGAAAAACTGAAGGTGGATGGAGACACATATTATATACCTGCTTAGCATTCACAAAGTCCCTGGCACTGAATAAAAACTGGTGGGTCTGTGGGCCAGGCAGTGGTGGCAGTGTGCATCTTTAATCCCAGCACCTGGAAGCAGAGGCAGGTGGGTCTCTGGGAGTTTGAGGCCAGCCTAATCTATAGTGTGAGTTACAAGACAGTCAAGGATATAGAGAGAAACCCTGACTCAGAACAAAACAAAACACCATAAAAAACTGGTATGGACAAGCCGGGCGGTGATGGCGCACGCCTTTAATCCCAGCACTCGGAAGGCAGAGGTAGGTGGATCTCTGTGAGTTCGAGGCCAGCCTGGTCTACAGAGCGAGCTCCAGGACAGCCTCCAAAACAATACAGAGAAACCCTGTCTTGAAAAAAAAAAAAAAAAAAACTGGTATGGACAAACACATCCGTAATCTCAGAACTTAAACTGTTGAGACAGGAGCATTGCTGTCCTGGGCTACAGAGTGAGATTGAGGTCAGTCTAGGGTACAGAATAGGACCTGGTCTCCAATTAAAGGGAGGTGAGGGCATGGACAGATGGTTCAGTAATCAAGAGCACTAGTAGCATCCTGAAGAGGATTTGTGTTCAATTTCCATCACACACAACCATTCATAACTTTCAGAACCAGGGGATCTGATGCCCTCTGATTTCATCAGACACCAGGTACACAAGTGGTATACGAACATGCATATAGGCAAATACTCATACATATAAAATTTAAAAATCTAGGAAAATTTTAAATAAAAAGAGTAAATAAAACAAAGATACTGCTAATAATTATAACAATAATATAGTCCTGGGCTTCATTCCAATAAGCTTTGGGACAAAAGGCAGCTAAGGCTGACTTTGGCCAAGCCTCTGTCTCAGTCCAGAGAGTTCTGAGATCTAATCAGCATGTTCAAAGGTCAAGTCCAAAGCCACATTATTCTGGTATTCTTTTCCCAGCAGCTCCTGAGTTGGAGTACTGGCAAAGATCATGTTCTCTCATTACAAGGGAACTTTCACTGGATCATAGCCTGTGATCCCTGTTTGCCAAGCACCATAAATCCTCAAAGATAACTAATAAAATCAGCCTTGTCCTCCAAAACAATACAGAGAAACCCTGTCTCGAAAAAACCAAAAAAAAAAAAAAAAAAGAAAAAAAAAAAGAAAAAATCAGCCTTGTATGGAGAAAAGCCCACCAAGAGCCATTTTGGGCGGGGGAGGCAGCTCTCAGGTAGAGCATTTGTCTAACGTGTACAAAGTCCCGAGTTTAATCTCCAGTATCATAGAAGGTACAGACCCATCATCTTTCCTGTCAAAAATCTATGAGGGTCAATCCCTTATACTATGTGCTCAGTCATCAGACCTCACACACACAAAGCAGGGTAGCACAGATAGGTGCTTGGCAGCTGCTGTGTAGAGAAGTGAACGGAACTGCTTCCCCCAGGGACTTAGTTATGAGGTTGAAACATGTTTTCTGGGTGACTCCAAATTTAATGATGAATTACCATACCTGGAAAACCAACATTGCCTATCTGTCTCTTCCTAACTATGTCACAGGTGCCTTGGAACTTTTAGAAAGAGTTCAGTTGGCACAACTTTTATTTTTCCATATGTTGTCCATACCTTGGGCTTGTTTGGGTGTGCCAGAGGCGCAGTGGCAGTGACTGGGGACCCAAATATGTCACTAGTCTTCCCACCAGGTGGGTTTTGACGCTGTCGAGTCTGCACAGGAATCGATTCATCAAAGATACCACTTCCTTTGCCTCCTGCAGAAACAATCACAGAGCATGAACATCGGAGCACCCACCTGATCCTACTCCACTGTTGTCACCTGCAGAGACAACCTTTCACCCAAGACTTAACGTCTTCCTAAGCTCCAGGGAAATAGGGTAGTATAATAAGTCCCTGAAGCCTTAACCTGGTCTGTTGCAGCCTTCATGTGCACAGCCAAGCTGTCCTGGGATAGACTCTAAAAGGGAGAAAGAATAAAATACAACCTTTCCCCACAGATCCCTTAACACTGAACAATGCAAGTGTTCCAGTGGAAAGTCTCCTTTGTTAATCAGGAAGAGTTCTTTTTTGTTCCCCTTTCTCCAAGAAAGGGTTTCTGCCCTGGAACTAGCTCTGTAGACCAGGGTGGCTTCGATCTCACAGAGATTCGCCTTCCTCTGCCTCCCAAGTGCTAGGATTAAAAATGTGTACCACCACTGCCTGGTCTCAGGAAGAGTTCTTAAGCAGATTAAAAGCAAACAACTAAATGTTTAGTTCACTACTATTCATGGTGAACCTATAATCTGGAAAATATGTCATTGACCTCCTTCTGGCTAGAATTTGTAGTGATGACTAGACATCAACAAGTTAAGAGAGACATGTTCCTTACTGCCCACTGAGTTTACGAAGCTCTCAGGCCCCCTTCTACACCAAGCAGTTATCTGAGAGCGAGCTAGCAGAAACAGAAGAAAGCTAACATGTTCTTTTAATGAGATGAGTTTTTCTGAGTCCTCCCGAATAACTACTAAACAGTTATTTCTTAGCTATCATAATCACATTGTCATCATATAACTCTGAAGAGCAACCTGAAGGAAGAACAGGAATGCCAAACCCTTTTTTGAGGAGTTCTTTTTTTGCAAGCTAACACACCTAGCAAAAGGCCCTTCAGGGTCCTTCTGGTGGAACAGAGTACCTTTCTGGAAGACACTGGCTTGAAGGGGTCAGGAGCATAGCTACTGGGAGGCTTGTAATTGTTTATAAAAGTGGAGACTGGCCAGGCATTGGTGGCGCATGCCTGTAATCCCAGTGCTCGGGAGGCAGAGGCAGGCAGATCTCTGTGAGTTTGAAGCCAGCCTGGTCTACAGAGCAAGTTCCAGGACAGCCTCCAAAACAATACAGAGAAACCCTGCCTTGAAAATCCAAAAAACAAAAACAAACAAACAAACAAAAAAACCACTTGGGGATATACAAGAGCTGCACCTTTGTAAAACTTGAGAGTGATTAAAACATTCTAAACCCCAGCCATAGACGTCCTGGAGATCAGTCCCCAAAATGTAGAGCATAGGGCTCCACAGCCAAGCTGTCAGTGTCTACTTATTAACTGTGTGATCTCAAATAAGAGCACTTTGTACCTCTACCCTTTGAACTGTAAAATAGAAATAAATGATACCCAAAGTGACAGTGAAATCAAACCATCTGACACAGGTAAAAAACAGGTACATCCAGTGATCACTGCCTGAACCTTGAGGGGAAGAGACAATTCATTTCTGGGTCATTCTTGACTGTCCATAGAAACTCACTTTATTTAATATGCAAATTTGGCTTGCTTTAAACTTGAAGAAATACACTTAGTAACAGAACTCAGGAGGCTAAGACAGAGGACTAAGAATTCAAAGTGAAACTCTGAAAACCAAACAAGCCAGGCGGTGGTGGCACACGCCTTTAATACCAGCACTGGGGAGGCAGAGGCAGCACAGCTCTGTGAGTTCCAGGACAGCCAGGGCCACGAAGAAAAACCCTGTTCCCAAATTCCCTGTTCCTCCCTCCCCCTCAAAAGAAAACCAAATAACAACAAAAACCTCAAGAAGTGGGAGTTGTGGCTCAGTGGTAGAGTGTTCCACTGTCTAGATACACTGAGTTTAAACCCCAGCAAACGGAGGATGGGGAGTAACTACTACAAATTTTGGTCAGGCACTGCTCATTAAAAAAAAAAAAAAAAGTGAAACAGAACACAGGAAAGTTCTTAGGATACAACTGTCACAAAGAGTTGTAGGGCAAAGCTGAGGAAGAACTGCTCAGGAGACAGGACAGCACTGTTCCCAGAAACTCCCTGTGTGCCCCTTTCCTCTCCCTGGTTACCATGAGCCTCAATTTTCTTGAAACCATAAACTTGCTAATTCTCAATACAGTGTTTTCACTTTTGCCCCCATCTTGAACAAGAGTTCTGCTTTTGCTTCTGTAAAGGAGCAGTCACATTGAAGTCTGATAGCTTTGAAGTATGGAAAGAGGTTAAGAGTAATAACTGCTCTTGCAGAGGATCTGGGTTTGGTTCTCAGCACCCTTAGAGCAGCTCACAAATGCCTGCACTCCTGTTCCAAGGAACCCAACACCTTCTCTGACCTCTGCATACACATAGAACCCCCCCCCAAGTAAAAATTGGCAGAATCAAGCACAAACGTACATCATGGACAAAAGTAGACAACTTCTTTACAATGGAAAGTGTATTTTAAATTCATGTGCCTGACGATCTTCCTACCCAGGCGGTTGGTAGTGCTCACTTTTAATCCTAGCACTCAGGAGACAGAGGCAGAGGTAGACAGAGCTCTGTGATTTAAGGCCAGCCTGATCTACAGAGTGAGTTCCAAGACAGCCAGGGCTACACAGAGAAACCTGGTTTCCAAAAAACAAAAACAAAAACAAAAAAAACCTCTTAGAATGTATAATTTGCATAAAATTTCAGAATATTAGGGGCTCTGATACCCAGAAACCCATCACCCACTACCCTTGGCAACTTCATCAAGTCATCTGCTAAGTAGACGGAACACAAAAGATTCTCTAGGCACCTTCAAGAGAGAAAGTGACAGCCAGGGAAAGCCCTTCTTTCCCTTAAAACAAAGTGTTCACAAGGGGTAAGGTGCCTCAGAAGGTGTCTAAAAGAACCCACACACAAAGAAAAGCAAGGCCCATGGAGACTAGCAGGAAGGTTCTGAGTTCGCAGTCTGGGCTACACAGAGAGAATCTGTCTTTCAACAACAACAGAAAGCAAGCAAACAAACAAACCCAGAACAAGCTGGGCATGGCAGTACATGTCTTTAATCACAGCACTGGGGAGGAAGAGGCAGGCAGAACTCTTGTCTTAAAAAACAAAACAAAACAAACCTTAATTAAGAAAATGCCTCTGAAAAGTGAGCTGTAGGCAAGCCAATAGGGCATTTTCTTAATTAGTGGTTGATGTGGGAGGACCCAATCCAGTGTGGGTGGAGCCATCTCTGGGCTGTTGATCACGGGTTCTATAAGAAAGTAGGCCGAGCAAGTTTCGATGAGCAAGCCAATAAGCTATGACACTCCTCCCTGGCCTTTACATCAGCTCCTGCCTCCAGGTTCCTGCTGTTTGTGCTTCTGTCCTGACTTCTTTCAATGATGAACAGTAATGTGGAAATATAAGCCAAATAAACCCTTTCCTTCCCAACTTGCTTTGGTCACAGTATTTTATCATAGCAATGACAAATAACCCTAAGACAATATTTTAGAAAGAACAGAAGAGAATCAAAGCCAAGGGATCTAAGAAGTAAAAAGACCACACCTGGAGGATTTGTCCTCTTGGGTATGTTTTTAGGTTCTTCAGTTGGTCCAAAAATATTAGATGCCATCCTATTAGGCTTGCTTGAAGGAATAGCTTCTTCTGGAGTTGCAAAAAGATTGCTTGATTCTCCTCCTGGGGGCTTCATGGATCTAGAAACAGAGTAAACAGTCAATAATAGTCAACTAACAGGCTCCCAGGACTCGTTAAGAGGGGTCTTTCCTATGGTTTAGTCCAATACCAGGCTGGCAGATCTAAGTTTGAGGCTAGTCTGGTCTACGTAGTGAGACCCTGTCTGAAAAAAACAGAAACAAACAAACAAAAAACAAACCCAGAACTATTTTATGCCATCTTGACACAGCTGTAGTCTTCTGAAGGGAGGGAACCTCAATTAAGGAAATGCCTCTTATGAGGGAGATGTAGGCAAGCCCATAGGGCATTTTATTAAGTAGTGACTGATGTGGGAGGGCTCAGTGCACTGTGAGTGGAGCCATCCCTGGGCCGGTGGTATGTTAAATCCCAGCACTTGGGAGATTGAGGCAGGATTTAGACAGAGTTCAAAGCCAAGGTAGGTTACATAGAAAGACACATATACAGGTGTAGGGGTAAGGCAGACCACATATGGAACTTTACATTTTTTAAGAGTCATAATGAGGATCAGAAATTAGTTTTAATACTCTGCCAATATCATTTTAGATTCTGAACAGGATAAAGGACAATTTAGTTTACATGTAACCTTTCTGCTTAGTAGCCATGGAAGCCAGGGGTTCCCCTGCCAGAATTTACAGGTGCTAATCTGGGGTCAGGCCCAACCTGGGAGGATACAGTAAAGGGGTTCTTCCCCTTGTGTTTCCCAGAGACCTTTAGGAAGGCATTAGGACATAGCCAATGCCCTAGATCCTTTGCCAGGTTTTGATCCAGACCCCTTCTTATGTGTCTTTTAATAAGTTCCATGTTTCTCTTTATCTTAGGTTCATCATCATCTGATAATTCCTGACTTAAAGACTCGCTATATTGGGATGTCTAGTGTAACCACTGAAATGCCTAGACTAGGAAGAAAAACGACCATTGTGGCAGCATTGTTTAATTTATATCACGGCATATGAACGAGCATTCCCTTCTAATCTTTACTGATGTTCTACAAGCATAGCTTTTAATTAAACACTCACAAAGAATTGGCTTCCATGTCTTAGTCACAAACAACCACACCTATCTTAAGTTTCAACCTTTGGGAAACTTCATCAGGCACGACTGGGAAGTTAAAAAGTGAACAGTTTTTTTTTTTTAAGTGAACAGTTTTTACTGAAGCTGCTGAAGACTTATGGAATTACCGTCAGGATAAACTGCAAGGGGAACGTTGGCGGATTCCATGGCAATCGAGAGTGACCAAGGCAGGGGACAAACATGCTAGGCAGACAGCTTAGTGAGAAGTTTGATTAGAAAGGGCAAATGGGGGAAGGAATGAGAAAAGAGGTAAAGAGACAGAGACAGAGGACAGAAGAGAAGAGGGAGACAGGGAAACAGCAGGAAAGATGGAAAGACAGAGCAGCCTAAGTGGGCGGGGGTCTTTCTTTTTTTTCCTTTTTTTTTTGGTTTTTTCAAGACAGGGTTTCTCTGTATTGTTTTGGAGGCTGTCCTGGAACTAGCTCTTGTAGACCAGGCTGGCCTCGAACTCACAGAGATTGCGGGGGTCTTTCTTTTAAAGGGGTCCTTTGCATCTGGATGGCAGGGTACTTCCTGAGTACATTCTGCCCGGTGACAGAGGCCCTGAATCCTTACAATTACCTCAAAGCTCGACCCTGATGTCCAGAGCACAAGTATACAACTGCCATATGATGAAATAATTTGTATGCATATTTCAAATACTTGGTTAGAATTGTGTGTGTTTTTTGTTGTTGTTGTTTTTGAGACAGGGTTTCTCTGTGTAACAGCACTGTCTGTCCTGGAACTTGCTCTGTAGACCAGGCTGGTCTTGAACTCACAGAGATCCACCTGCTTCTGCCTCACAAGTACTGGGATCAAAGGTGTGAACCACCACTAGCCAACACCTGGTTAGACTTTTAAAATACCCAACACCTGGTTAGTCTTTTAAAATAACCTTAGTTAGGCATAGTATCTATTACCTGTGATCCCAGAACTTGCATGCCTTTAATCCCAGCATTCAGGAGGCAGGTGGATCTCCGTGACACAGTGAGTTTCAAGGCAGTCAGGTCTCCCTACATAAAACCCAAACTAAGAAAGGTAATCCTCGACTATATAGTGAATGCAAAGCCAGCCAAAGAAACCAAGACCATCTCAAAAATAAAAATACATGTATTTTGAAGAGGGGCCACTTGAAAGTGAATTTTAAACAAGTGAATGGCCCACATTCTTTCTCGTTTGTTTTTGAGACAGGTTATCTATGCAATTGTGGCTGTCCTGGAACTCTATGTAGAACAGACTGGTCTAACTCAGATTTCCTTCTGTCCCTGCCTCTCACTACTGAGATTAAAAGTGTCTACTACACATGGTCCCACCCTCTTTCACTAGGCCTAAGCACTGAGTCTGCATAGCCCCACACATTTAAGAAAATAATTAAGGATGATTGACACATAAAAGGCAAGAGTGGGGGTTAGGACTGGCTGAAAAGCTATGCAAATAGCACCTACTCAAGGGTTAGCTAACAACAGCAACAAAATTATCTAAAATGTGTTTCATCCAAGGAGGTAAAGGCTGTTACCTATTGCAAGGTAATATAATTGGAGTTCTCAGATTGCCTGCTCTAAGGCTTGCAGGTGCCCTACAGAAGGGTAACAAAATGCGCTAGTCATGCTTCAACAGAAAATGAAGGCTGGATGGATACTCAGCACCGCAGATGCCAGGCATGACTGACAGGCCTTTGAACCAGTGCCTGATCACTGTCTTCTTAGGAGGGAAGGGGAACCCTGCCCCATCCATCAACAGTTAGCATTTCTTGAAGGACCTTAGTAAGGGGTAGAAAAGTTCATTTGAAAAGGAAATTAAAAAAAAAAAAAGTTTAACCAAGTTAGGTCCACTAGAAAAGACTTAAGACTACCTGACATCAGTGCCCACTGACAAACTACACAGTTCTGACCATCCTTAGGTTTTTCTTGGATTGTCAAGGTTTTTTGTTTGTTTTCTTTTGTTTTTTTCGAGACAGGATTTCTCTGTGTAACTGCCCTAGCTGTCCTCGAACTTATGATATCTGCCTGCCTCTGCCTCCAGAGTGCTGCGATTAAAGGCATGTGCCACCACCTCCCTGCAGAATGCCAGGTTTAATACCCTTGAGTCTATGGTCAGCTCTTTGAAAGAGAGACCTGTAATCATTAGAAATGAATTAAATTTAGTATAAAGTTGCATTTGAGCAGAGTTAAAATTCCTACATCATTCATTGTCTTATTGGGGTTTGGAAAGAGCTGAGCCAGGATCTTAACAGCGCTGGCCTCAAATCCACTATAAAGCTAATGCCAACTATGAACTATGAGCCCTCTGCCTCCACGTCCCAAGTGCTAATCATCTCTATTTACTTACCAAGTCACTAACGTCTGTTGCGTGTTTGACTTTGCCAGGCCCTCGCTCTACACTCTGACCTTCCCAGTCACTCTGTGGCTATTCTGTACCCAATTCCGGACACAAAACATGGAGTGACCAAGTGCTCTGCCTGGATCTCAGGATTTAACAGTGTAGCCAGATCTGTGTTCCATGTGCATGATGCAAGAGAAGCAAGCACTGTGTTCCTGGTACCTCAAAGCCATCTTGGGAGAGGAGCCCAGACTGAGTCCATGGTGGGGATACAGGACACAATGGCAGTTACTGAAATTAAAGCTAACACGCATACAGAAATTAAGGATCTAGTATTGCTTTGTCTACTTGTCTGAATTGTAATTTGAAAACAAGCAAAGTAGAGTGGTGCCATACTAAGTTTTGGCAAAGATAATGGGTCACTTGGGCTGGAGCAGTGTCCATCTCTACCCCAAAGACAATGGGGCAAGCACAAGTTGCACAGCCGACAACAGCAATTCGAGCCTCAAGGCTGCCCCAGCAGGGTCTCACAAATGGGACTGAGTTCAATAGGCCTTTCAATAAATAAGGCCCCTAACAATGGCACAGTGTGGCCTTCTGGAAGCTGCTAGCAGCCATTATCACAACACCACCAACGGAGTGGAAGGAGCTAGGGAAAGATTAGCCAGCTCAGACTTTTAGGGCCAAAAATCACAATGTGGCGGTACATTCTAATTACTTTTCCCTTTAGTAGTACCCCTTAAGTGTTTCAATAGAAATATTCAAAGTATACAAGACAATATAAGAGATACAGGCTAAGATGAAAAGCTACACAGTTCAAGTGGACTATGGAATGAGAAAACAGTTGGACAGTGTTAATACCCCCGAACCTCCCTGCAACGGTGAACTTCAAAAAAACTTTTAGGGAGTGGGATAAAGCCATGGGAAACAGATGTGGGGCACACCCCTCACGATTATCCATTTTATGGGTGAATGACAGCAATACCATAATGCTTTTACAATTCCAAAGTCCCCAGCTCAAGAAAAATCTTCAGCAAAGACATAACACGGGGTTAGAAGAAAGGAAACCCTGCAATGGAGTCCTTACAGTAGCTGCAGGCAAAAATCAAGGCAAATCTTTGAAGCAATCAGTCTGACTAGGCGCTATCTTCCCCTCCACCTGGGTAAAACGCCATTCACAGCCGGGTTTCTATCAAACATTGGCCAGACAGACTGAGACTTCCAATTATACTTCATCATCCAATTAAGGAAGCTTCCCTTGCCCCCACACTCAGATATAAATGAGGAATTCTCCCTTTTCCCAAAATCCTCTCCATGGACGCCTACTTCATAACTAACTTCCGGAGCTCGGGAAGTCATTACAACACCAGTTTCATTTTATCACTCAAAGTAGATCATACAGAAAGTCCAGATGAAACTGTGTTGGGAAAGGTCCCCGGCCAGGGAGGCCCAGTAGGTACACATGATGGACACCTGGTCGTGAATTGGGTCATTTTGCTACCACATTCAAGGGTCGTCGTAACCAGCCAAGGGAAGCTGGACGCGGGAAGGACCTAGGAGCCGGCAAACGGAGCTCGGCAGCGCCGGGCTAGCGACCAGCATAGACAAGCGCTTCAGGAAAGACACGTGTCCTCGTCCCGCCGCCCGGTGTCCACTCCGCTCGCTCGCCCTCCAGCCTTTCTGCGAGGCCCGGCTTCAACCAACCCGAGAGAGTGCACGCACTCAGCACCTTCAGGGGAGCCACGAGTCACACCCACCGCATCTGTAGGGCCTCCCGCCCGCCACGTGGCTACAGTAACGCGCCCACCTGGGCCCCAGCACTCGCCAGCGTACCTGGAGCCGGACCCGCCAGCCTGGCCGTCCGCACCCTGGAACATGTCGGCCGCCGCCCCGCGCTTCCCCAGCCGCTGCGCGGAGGTTCCCGCTTGGTCCCGCGCAGGTACCCTGACCCGCCCAAGCCCGTTGGACGCCTCCCGCGCCAATCACACTTCGGCAGCCTATCGTGGAAACATGCCCCACTCCCGCCCCCCGCCCCCAACGAGAGGACGGCTCGGAGAGAAACGCATCGCGCTTACAGCTGATTGGCCGCAGCAGCCGCCTCTCATGGTTTCAGGCGTGTGGATTGGTTCACAGCTCGCCCCGCCCTCCGACACCAGCGCGTCTCATGGTGCGAATCTGCTTGTGGACCTTTGGGGTTGTGGCGCCTTCAGGCGGGAGCAAGGGTTCAGGGTACCGCACACCAGGGCCAAAACAGAAGCTGCAGGCTGTGCGATGACCTCCGCCTCTGTTTTCAGTGGTCACTGAGGCCCTGACTAACCCCAGGATTCGCCGAACTCTCCTGCTGCGCCCATCCCTGCCTGTTGGCTCCAGGGTTCATCTCACTAATGCTGCACCTTCGCCAGACCTGAATACCTCAAGCACGCTGGCTTTATAAGCAGGCACAAAAGACAAGTCATTAGATCAAGTATTAGTATGTATTTATGCACAATAAAAACATTTACAAGCTGAACTGGAAATTTTAGCTGAAGTTTAACAGTTTTTGTTTATTATATTAAATAACCAAAACACCTTTTATTCCCAAAAAATTGGTAAAGAATAAATAATGTAATTTACAATATGGTACAAAAAATAATCAGAAGGACAGGCATTCTGCTTTATACATATACTGTATATTTATAGTCTATAAAACAAATTCACATCTCAAGCCAGAAACCTCAGATGATATGGCTTAACGATTATCAAAGCAAACAGCACTGAGTTCTGCCTGCTGGCTGCACCCTTCCCGCCAGCCAGGGTATCTTACTAGCTAGTAAGGCTTGGACTGGTGCAGTGCTTCCAAAACTGGACTGACCTCATCAGGCTATCCTCTTGGAACGGTATAATGTGGGTTTCTTTCCTCTTTTTATTTCTTTAAAATTGATTTTTCCTTTTTTTTTAAATTAAGACAAAGTATGGCATTTCCTCATGAATGCATCTGGCAGATCTGTTTAAAAAGTACATGAAACAATTTCCCTCTAAATGTGTTTTGACCATTTCTAGTAATGTGGTCTGGTTAAAAATGCTATTAAATTGAATGAGGCTTTCCCTAGCAGTGAGGCCACAAGGAATGAAAAAAGAACAGGGTGGGAAAAAAGGTTGACCAACAGATGAAATGTCCCCAAAGTCATACTCCCTGAGCAAGTATACTATGCCTTTACAGGATATATGAACTTCAACTTGCCTGAGCATCTTCTATAGGACACAATCCATGCCAAGCACCAGAGATACTGAATCTCAAACTTTTGAAAAGACAATCAACAAAAAGTCTAAGACATTAGTATTAACAAAAAATTTTCTCAGCCGGGTGGTGGCGCATGACTTTAATCCCAGAATAAAGGAGGCAGAGGCTGTCGAATATGTGAGTTCAAGGACAGCCAGGGAACAGAGAACTCGTGTGTATGTGTATCTCAAAAACAGATCTCACGTATATCACACTAAGTTCCCATGCACAATGGAAGCCCTAGGTGATCATGAACCATCAAAACTGATGGAAAGGCAGAGAAAGACAAAGAACCCAGGAGGCTTCCTTGCTGTTTAAAAATCTCCAATCTTTACAGTTTCCAGTTTTATGTAAGGATATTTGGTTAGGTTGGGAGAAGTTATAACCACCGATTCTCTGCTACAAATGATTAATACGGTGATGATGAGCAACTGTGTCTGTCTGCCTGTTAAAAAAGCAGTGGAATCTTCTAGAACCCTGCCAGTTTCTCTTAGTAACGAGTCAGTCCATTACACACCTGCCTGTTGCTAGGTGACAATGGCTGTAGGCTCTGCTCCTCAAAGCAACCTCAATTCCTTTTAGAGGACACAGAGTAATGTGTGCCTCAAGGCATTTATTGCCTGATGAGAATCAGCTCAGGAACCGAACTGTCTAGTACTATATGGTCAGTTACCAGGATGGTACAAGCACCTATTCTTAATGTGGGAGAGTCTGCTTAAAACAGTGCAAGGGCAGCTAGCAATGGCCTAAGTTGAGCCTGGTATCCTAACTGTGCTACAGTCCCAAGACCTAAATAAATGCCTTCAGCTAAGAAAGGGAGTGCTGGAAACACACGATTGGGTAAAGATACACTAGTGACTTCACCAGTCTTTCCTAACAGACTGCTTGATGCTCTCTTCATCCTCTAAGAGTTTTAGACTTACCAGACCTAGGGGCTTACATATCAGGATCTGGGGCCGATCCTTTGCCAGTACCAGTGACAGGAGGATCCTAGGAGGTGAAGTAATTTGCTGTCAAGAGTCACTATCCTCTCAGTTCCTGCAGTGGAGCCTGTATTCTAGGGTTTGTAGTAGATGGTGAGACAACAGGATCAGTGTTCCACTAGGGAGGTTTCCGACCCGTTCTTCATTGCAGACAGAGAAGTAAGAGCCTGAGCTGGTCTTAAGGACTACTCTGCAAATAAGGAGAGAACAGGTAGAGAGCAGAGGAGGCAGTTTCAGGACTGTCAAGCCAGATGTGGTGGTGTATGCCTTTAATCTTAGCACGTAGGAGGCAGAGATGAGTTCCAGGCCAGCCTGGTCTAGAGATTGAGTTACAGAACAGTCAGTCAGGGCTATACAGAAAAACCCTGCCTTAAAAAAAAAAAAAAAAAAAAAGGAAAAGAAAAGTACAGGACCTGTCAGCCCTGGCTGCTGTGTAGAGAATGAGCAATGAGAAGGTAATACAAGTGTCACCTGTTCACCCAGACATACAGGAGTGACTGTGTTACAAGGAGCTGAGGGCAACAGAGGGGGATGAAACTCTTGTTGGCACCATTCTAAACAGGTTAGCTACAATCAAGACTGCTGACCTACTGGACTCTAGAAGAGAGCTGCTAAAATACCGCCAAGTGAGCTCTTACCACACTCGGACATCTGAACCCCGCTTGAGTCCCAGAACAGGAAAAGAGGCAGCCTGGGGCAAAGACAACCCTCAGACACCAGCAGTAACACATGAAAAATTAGAGCATGCACAAAAGCTGTAGGTAAAGCAGTGGACTGGGGGTAGGGGGGAGGAAGGTAGAGAAGAGTGGTATCTTAGGTCACCTAGAAAGAACTGGGCATTTAGCAAAGGAAGAGAGCAGAGCCACCTTACTATTCCTTGTCCATGTCTCCTAATTCTTAAACCACAAGAAAACCATTTCCAACCAGCTTTGTAAGATCCTATAAAACATCCATACAACCTGCAAGATATACTTTCTTTCACCCTTCTTATGCTAGGAAGAACCAAACCTCTGCTAGCTACATGACTCTGGGACCCTTTTCTGTTTCATGGTCAAGGTATCCAGGAAGTGGTAGCTTGCAGATACCATCAAGCAAGACCCTGGTCCACCCTCAGTGTCCCTTGCAATATTACCACATACAGAACAAACAGGTAGGGGAAAGGATATCAGAAGAAAGCAGCAATAACTGTGGCCTCCCTGCACACAGGCTAACTAACAGCTCCCAAGACAAAATGAACACCAGGCATGTCTCTTGCAAGGAGGAGATCCTCTGGAAGGCTTAACAGGTAGACATACAGTTGCGATTGCCACATAGGCTACAGGACTATGAGTAAGGGCTCTAATGCCAAAAGGATTTCTGATGTCTACCCTTCTCAGAGCTTGTCCTGGCCTCTGTGTATGGTACTGGCCCTGATTGTTGGGACAGGCCATGATAAGCTGTTCCTATGGACTGCATATCGTATGCTGTTAGAGGTGCTCTGGTTCACCGTCTCCTGGGGTTCTGGGCTTGATTCTCTCTGTGAAGACAGTTTCATGGGCCAGCCCTGTAGACTTCCCTTGTGGATTCCAGGATGCCCATGTCACAAGGCACAGTCACTGAGAGAGGTCACCAACAGGATTACCACCTCCTCCACCATCAAAAAGAACTTCTCGGCGGTTAGGCTCATTGATGGACAATTCTTGGGCCAGGTCATTAAATCGAGATATGTAGTCAATGCTGTTTTCATTCATCATGCATACCAACTGGGAATCTACCACCTGTAGGACAGAAGGGACAAGAAGACCACATTAGCTGGAGGATGGTTTACCATCCTGACTAGAGGTTCTTAACCCCCAGAGCAGAATGTCAATAGTAAGAGCCTATTGCTCTACCAGGAATTTCAGAATCGTTGGTGGTCTAAGCACATGGACTTTCTGTAAGTACATACTCTGTACACGATCCTAGAAAAGCCCCAGGAACATGAACCATCTGATGCTGAGTTGTAGTAGTAGCCTCCCTGATACTCATGAGGAAGACAGTCCACAGAATGGTTAACAATGACAAGAGAAGGCAGAAACTTTACAAAAGTAGGCAAAGCAGAGGTGCCTCAGAGAAGAGTTACATGAGGCACTCCAAAGAGTCAGGATCTCACAAGTGTGGGTACAGGTATATCAACATTGGAGGAAAAAAAACCCCATCCCAGTGCAAAGGCTATGAGAAGATGGAGTGCAGCTGCTCAGGAAACATGAGAAAACCAGTACACTCAGCACATTAAGCAAGGCAGAGACAACTATTGGGAAGGATACAGAAATTTGTTAAATCCTGGGTGTTAAAGACATTATCTTGTGGAGACGTTACCATTCTTGTCTTTCTCCATTATACTGGAAGACTCATGATAACAGGAACTTCTGTCTATATAGTGACTATAATAACACTTGGTAAGACTTGCATATTTTCTTAGTGAACTACACAATAAGAATTAATATGGCCCCGGGCGTTGGTGGCGCACGCCTTTAATCCCAGCACTCGGGAGGCAGAGGCAGGCGGATCTCTGTGAGTTCGAGGGCAGCTTGGTCTACAGAATGAGTTCCAGGACAGCCTCCAAAACAATACAGAGAAACCCTGTCTCGAAAAACCAAAAAAAAAAAAAAAAAAAAAAAAAAGAATTAATATGGCAGCCGGGCGGTGGTGGCGCATGCCTTTAATCCCAGCACTCGGGAGGCAGAGGCAGGTGGATCTCTGTGAGTTCGAGGCCAGGCTGGACCAACAGCCTCCAAAACAAATTAATATGGCAAGAACTAAATTTTAAAATTCTTACTGGCAATATTGAACAAATTGAAATCTGTTCTAAAAAAAAAAAGGAGGTCTGGAAAGACAGCACAGTGTGCAACAACAGAATTTGTTATTTTGCTGCTAAGCCTGATGATCTGAGCTTGATCCCTAGAACTACAACAAGGTAGAAGGGGATAACACTCATACATGTAGTCTTCTGACTGCTATACATGTACACATGCACACACGAGCACACATTCACACACACGATAAAAAAAAAAGTAGAGCAAAGACAGGAAATGATGCACACCTATAATCCCACAACTTCTGAGGCTGAAGCAGGCAGAAGTATTGTGAGTTCAAGACCAGTCCAAAGTACATAGCAAGCCCCTGTCCCAAAAGAGACTTCTTTCATTTAAGTATTCATCCCCTGCTTCCATGGTATCAACAAAAACAGACTGCCTTATCCCTATAGACTAGACCCATCACTCTTACTCAGATTCCACTATCAGATCACTGCATTCACAAAAGATTGCTACCACACTTCCAGATGATGAGGGCCCTTTCCAAAGGCAGTGATGTTTTAAAGCACAGAGCTCTTAGAAAGGCCCTCTGCTGAATATACTGGCTCTTTCTGCTGATGAATGTGTCTCCATCACTTGCTACAGATACAATATTCTGTGTTGCTCACTGTCTTGAATACTACATCACAAGGGAAAACGCAAATGCTGACTTGGGAGTCTGGCTGCCTTGAAATGCAGCATTCCTGACCTTAAGGCTCCAACAGCGTCCATCTCATAGATACCAGGGGCTTATAGTGTCCATACTAACAAGAAAGGAAAGAACAGTTTTTTGTGTGAAACATTTAAGCTATAAGGAGCCCTACAGAATAAAGAATTCATAGTTAATAGGTTTGAGAAATGCCATATATTACACGAGAGGGTTCCGAAGAGATGGCTCAGTTACTAAAGTGCTTTCCACGAAAGCACGTGGACTTGGGTTTGTATCCCAGTACTCATAGAAAAGCAGGGTATGGCACCTGGAATCATAGCTAGGGGATCAGAGACAGGTGGATCCCTGGAGCTCACTGGCCAGTCAGCATACCAGAATCAATAAGCTCCAGGTTCAGCTTCCTGCCTCAAAAAATAAGGTAGCAGTCTAGTGCCATGGTGAGTGGATAAATAAAAGTGCTTACTGCCAACCCAAATAACCTATGTTCAATTCCTGGGGCTTACAGAGTAGGAGAAAACCAATTCTTGTAAGTTATGCTCAGATCTAACACCTAACTACCTCCACAGTACATAAGAACAGAGTAAATAATTAAACAAAATAAAAATAAAAGACGGAGAGCAATTAAGGAAGGAAAATTTGTGGACTGTGGCCTCCATACACGTGTACACATAAACACACACTGTTTCCAAACTGTTGGGATAAAAGGCGTACGCTACCAAAGCCTATTTTTAGGCTAGGTTAGAAGTCAGCAAGCCCCAAGTGATCTTCCTGTTTGCGCCTTCCCACACTTAAAGCTGGGTTCCTGGCAAAGGCTGGATGGCCAGGTTGACATGAGTGTTGACAACCAAATTCTTGCCCTCATGATTGCATAGTAAATGTTCTTTTTTTTTTTTTTTTTTGGTTTTTATGAGACAGGGTTTCTCTGTATTGTTTTAGAGGCTGTCGGTCCAGCCCGGCCTCGAACTCACAGAGATCCGCCTGCCTCTGCCTCCAGAGTGCTGGGATTAAAGGCGTGTGCCACCACCGCCCGGCTTAGTAAATGTTCTTAATCACATAGCCATCTCTCTAACTTCTCTATTTTGCATTGTTTGGAAATCGTCAAGCATGTCATGGTTCAGCTCAGATGTCATCAAAACATTCCACAACTCCATCTCAAAATCCACACTGGAAAACTGAGAAACTAATGCATTTTTGTGAAAAGGTTGTGGGCTTATTTATTTATTTACTTATCAACTTACCCCACCCACTTTTTTATTTTATGATTATTGGTGTTTTGCTTGCATGTATGTTTGTATGTCAAAAACCATAGAACTGAAATTACAGACAGGTATCAGCCACCATGTGGATGCTGGAAATTGAACCCAGGTCCTCTGGAAGATCAGCCAGTGCTCTTAACCACTGAGCCAACTCTCCAGCCCCATCCCAAAAGTTGTGTTTTTATATTGTTATTATTGATTTTTTGTTTCCTGAGATAAGGTCTCATTCTATAGCCTAGGCTGATCTTAAACCCACACCTATCCTCCCTCAGTTTCCCAAGTGCTGGGATTATAATAGGCTTATGGTACCATACATCATGGAAACAGCTATTTTGAATATTGTTTTGATCTGAACTTTCCTTCAAGTGTCTGGCTATAATACTCTCCGGGAATTACTAGCAAGGCCTTGTGAAATCCAGGGAACCAGCTTGGGACACGTTTCTTGAGGATCCTTCTCGGATGATGTGTACTTTGATTAAGTCTCTCATGATGCCTGCAGCTCTGTACCTAGCACCTCCCTCTAGTGCTGGCCCTGCAGTCGAGGGCACACATAGACCATGTGAGGAACAGACAGCTTAACCATAACATGGAAAAGAACAAGCAGAGAAAGGACAGACCTCTACTACAGAACCTTTTCCTAAGTTCCACAGGGTCATGGCCACAAAACATTACAGGGAAATGCTACTCAAAGGCTTTCTGCAGCCAGAGCAGGAAATAGCATCTTAAAACTTCCAAATGGCACTATATCTTACAGATCAGGTAACTGAGACACCCCAAGGTTACACAGCAAGATAAGGACATGAGGAGATTCAACAGCGCTCTATCTACATTTGGTGACTTGGCTCTCCACCCTGATCCCAGGCTTCCCAGGTTAAGAAGCCTACAAAGGACAGCTGCTACTTACATTTGCTGTGGGCCATTAGATGTCCCAGTGCTTCCAGGTCTCAGAGTTTTAGGACCATATGTTCTGACATATAATCCCCATGAACATTCCTTAAGACCCACAGGACCTACGAGTGATCCCACAGCCTCCAGAATGTGATGGGAAGTTAAGTTCAGGAGTATGGCACTGCACTTACTTCTGCAACATCAGCAAGAGACCTGGACACAAAAGAGTCCCTTGAATTTCCATCCAACAAGCTAGGGCCAAGCAAAGATGTGCCGCTGTTGGCCCCAACAGTAGTTGGTAGCATCTTCCTGCTCTTCTCTGGAGATATGAAGCTGGCTGCAGAGAGAAAGCTGAGTCAGGCAGGCCCCACTATGTCTCTAGCTTCACAATTGTGTCAAGGGCTACAGATGGCATCCTTACACTATAACAGGCTTTTGTCATCTAATGTTAGTGTACATCTTTATTGTTTTCTGAGGGTCTCAAGGTGCTGAACTCCTCCTATATTGTATGCTCTGTGGTAGGACCCTCACTGATGGGCATGGGCATTAAGGTTGATTTTAACTTCATAGACTGCAGATGATTGCTCATGTCTGCACTGTTTCTTGTGATACGAAAACCACTGGGTGTGGGGCTGGTTCCCTACAATCCCCACCAGGCATAGGACCTATAAGCGAGGATGATCAAGTTTGGGATGAGAAGGCAGAAGCCTGGGTCTTGGCAACTATAAAAGCTAAGCTTAGTCATCCATTCTCAATACACCCACTAAAGAAACAAGTCTTTGTAAGAGTCCTATAAGTTGGGCTAGCTGGACAGACTGGAGAAGGCACTGAGAACCAGATGAGTGACTTGAATGTTCTTTCTGTACTGGGCTGAGGGCTCTCAGAGTCTATAAGCATGTCAATATTCAGTGAACTACACACTGAAAATTTGCATTTTCCTATATGTAAATTACACTTTAAAAACTTAACACAGAAAAAAACACTTTCCGAGCAAAAGTGCTCTCAGAGGTGTGGCCTGACTCCAATCTTGGAAAGAAGATCCCTCCAGAAATACTCACCAAACAAGCTGCTGAGCGAAGAATCTGTGGAGTCACTAGGGTACCATTGTGGGTCATGAGTGGGAGAGGCAATCCAGTTGGGCTGGGGGCTGCTGGATGGGGAGGGAAGACTCTTGGAACTGTCACTACCATTCAGTTTTGCTGGAGAAAGAGGGACTCCTTCACCTGTCAACCAAAATCCAAGATCAGAGATGCCTCCCTCAACTCAGAGCAAGGCAGCAGGAGGCAAAGGCTGCGTATAACTGAAACCAGGAGAGCCAGGATACACTGGGCTCACCCCAAAGGGACAGCAAGCAGTTGTCTACAAACAAGGATCACAGAGCCTTCAGGGCAACGTCATGCTATAAAAAGGGCACAACGCAGAACACAGCAGGCAGGGTCAGGCCCTGTGCCAAGAGTGCTATGCATGCTCCTGATTCCATCCTGTGGGGTACAGAGTTCCCAGCCTACGACTGAGAAAAGTAAGGTTCAGGCAAGTCAGAGCTCTATCAAGCCCCTGGGTTAAAAGGCTGTGTATGAATTCATGTCTGCCTGAACCCCTCAATCTGAGTCATGTCAGTAAGCAATAGCTGTACCGCTACCATCAGGGACACCACAGAATGAGTGGGATCAGGCCCTTGGTGACTATCTGTGCAGCTACTTCCTAAGGACCACCTGCAAGACATGTGGGTTATCTCCCAGAGATGCACAAACAGGAAACTGATCCCCAGGCTTCAGAGAGCCTTCTAAATCATCCCATTCATACCTCAAAGTCATTGCAACCCAACCAGACCACTAGCTCCCAGATACCACTCCTGCCAGAGTCAGGTAGAGGAACTTTGTAGTGATAGACATTCAATGTTAAAAACTGACAGCTACACTGGTACTTTACCGGCAAGTTTGGCAAATGCTTAGGCAGCTCGGGTCCCCTTTGGCAAGTCTGGTTGCCCTATCCTAGTTAGAACCTGGTTCTGAGAAAGGTGTGCAAGGCCACCTGTACTTACTGTACTGCCCAGAGCTGATGGCAATCTCAATGATGGAGTCACTGATTTGTGTGGCAGGTTCTCCCTGTGAGAGAACATCTTCAGGTGGGCCAGGTAGGGATATGTCCAGCAGTGCAGAAACATTGGGTGGGGAGAGTCTGGTGCTGGAGCTCTCTGATGAGGGTAAAGGTGTGGAAAGGCCATTCTGGAGATGAGCCTTGGGTAGCTCAGGTAAGCACAGAACAGATGATCCCTGACAGGAGAGGGACAAATATTGTTCAGACACAAGGTGTCCATCAGCACTTGTAACAGTGATTGCAGCCTCCGTCTCTAGCTTGGCAGCTGCAATAAATGCAGGGATCTCCCATTATTGCAAGGGAGGAGTACACTCAAGAAATATACTTCTTCAGAAGAAAGTTAAGCAGGGGTAGAGTGAGCCTGTTTCCATTGGTAGCATCTAGTTAAAGAGTAATGATCAGGGCTGGAGAGATGGTTCAGAGGTTAAGAGCACTGACTACTCTTCCAGAGGACCTGAGTTCAATTCCCAGCAACCACATGGTGGCTCACAACCATCTGGTGCCCTCTTCTGGCCTGTGGACATACATGCAGGCAGAACACTGTATACCTAATAAATAAATCTTTAAAAAAAAAAAAAGTAATGATCAGAAAGCCACCAATTGTCTGGGCAATGGTGGTGCATGCCTTTAATGCCAGCACTAAGGAGGCAGAGGCAAGCAGATCTGTGATACTGAAGCCAGCCTGCTCTATAGAGTCAGACAGTCAGAGCTGCACAGTGAAATACTGTCTCGAAAAACCAAAAAAGAAAACAAAAACAAAACAAGCAAAAAATATTCCTAAAACAGAAAGCCACCTGCCAATTATGTCCTGCTTCCTTTTAGATATGGAGTTTAGTAAAAGAAGCTAGAACTAGGGACAACAGGTTCATTCATTCATGAGGCGACGGGCAAGGCAGGTGGAAGGACAGCGGTGTTGCCGGGAAGCACGATCTGTACACTCAGGGAGGAAGGGCACTGAGGCCCTAAGGTGTACTCTACCTGGAAACCATCTGTCATTGGCTCCTGCTCCGGTCTTGGAATGCTGATAAATGGGTCACTATTGCCCTGGAACAACAAGAAGGCAGATAAGTGATCGGCACTGAGCTGGGTTAACAGCCATGTGCTTGTCTGGTAAGCACCAAAGAAAAATTCTTCTCAGTCGATTGCAGTCTCCCCACAGACAGAGATGCAGGAATGGGCTATGTTCCAGGCTGGAAATGATGGACAGCCAAAAGAGTATTGCTTCTGCACTTACATTCGTTCATTGCTTTTTAAGAGGAAATATAACAGCTCAGTAAAGGACTGACCACATCTCAGGCCCGAGAGCCCCATAGAATCTCCCCATCTACCCGCCTTTCAAAAAGGCTGAAATCAGAACATTTGGAGATTTATGAGAAAAATAGTGATCAAGGCCATATGAGCTATTCTCTACCAAGATATAGCAAGGACTTACTACACCTGAGTAGGGACCCACAGGCTGATGTCAGCCTCTGAGTTGAAATGCAGAACTACTTGCTTGTTTTAGCAATTGATTCTTTAGCAAACATGTCTCTTCACCTTCCCACTCTGTGCTCCATGGTAGATGTTTAAACCTTGGCTTCCCTCTAACACATCAGGCCTCCAAAGGTGCAACAGGGTCCAGTATGACCCCAGGCCATGGCCTTGCTCCATAAGTTATCAGTAATGCCAAATTAGCCCTTGTAAATGCACTCACCCTTACGGAAGTAACAGGGTCTCTGTTCTGGTGTGGTCCAGTATCACTATGCCTCGAGATGGCAGTGGTTACTTGTTCTGAAGACAGTGCAGAGATGCCAGATGAGCCATCAGTATCTAAAACTGGCAAAGGACTTTCAGGGATGATGCCAGCACTTTGAGCTGCTAAGTCGATGGCACCTGGCAACAGGAGTGATACATCAAACCTCTGTTCCATAACACTCCACTCCATGATGTATGCCCAAAGAGTTTGGGATAGCTTTTCCCTCCACCTCTCTTCAGTGAAAAGCCAAGGGATTTGAAATACTCTTAGCAAAGCAGTAAGACATTATGCCTTGGAGAAGAAGAGAACATTACAAAGATGTATGACAAAAAAGCGACTAAGGAACCTCATATAGTGGCTGTCACTGTGCACATTACAGACTTACTGGGCAGGTGACTGGTGGCCTGAGATGGGAGGACCTTGGGCACTATTGGTCGAGACAGAGCTGCTTTGGTAAGAGAAGACTGGATGGGCCGGAACCAGCCTCTCCCTGTGAGGGGAAGATAAATGCAGTCATATCAACTGGTTTGTCCATGAACTACAATGTACAATGGGGCTATGAAGAGTTTCCTTCAGACATAGCTAGGATCATAGCAAGTCACTCAACACTCCAATCACTTGCTAACTTTGGGAATGAGAAGTATTATCACACAGGCTCCTAAGAAGAAGATCTAGGTTCAGTTCCCAGCACTCATCTGATGTCTCCCAATCACCTGTTAACTTCAGTTTCAGGGAATCCAATACCCTCTTCTGACTTCCATGGGGAGACAAGAAAATGTTGCACATACAAGTATGTATGTATGTATGTTCGTATGTGTGTATACACACATACACACACACACAAGAGATAAAACATCCATATACATAAAATTAAAGAATAAAAGAATACAACTCACGAAGGGATTAGAGATGGCTCAGTGGTTAAGAGAGAGCACTTGCTGCTCTTGCAGAGGACCCAGGTTTGTTTCTTAGCCCCCCACATGACCTCCTCTAACTGCAGGAGATCTGACAAATCTTCTGGCCTCCATGAGCTTCTGATGCCATGAAGGCATTTATACATACACATGAAAATAAGTAAATCTTTAAAAGAAAAAAAGGGGGGGGGTACTAGAGAGATAGCTCAGCGGTTAAGAACATTGGCTACTCTTTCAGAAGACCTGAGTTCAATTCCCAGCAACCACATGGTGGCTCACAACCATCTGTACTGAGATCTGGTGCCCTCTTCAGGCATGCAGGCAGAACACTCTATACATAATAAGTAAATAAATCTTTAAAAAAAAAAAAGGAAAGAAGATTCATGAGGGCTGGAAACATAACATAGTTCAGCAGTACATAAGTTGATCAGTCTACAGTTCTGGATTTGATCTCCAGAATCATAAGAAAAAAATTAGTCAAGATAAATCAACAAGCGCTTGTGTTTACTAAAAAACCCACACTAAGGCTTATGTCAAAGCACCAGGGTACCCACTGAGTTTACAGATGGTGTAAATAAGAAATGTGATCAGGGCTAGAGAGATGGCTCAGCCGTTAAAGGCAAGGATCACACCAAAAATATAAGAAATGTGATCATACACCCAACAACACATTTATTTTATAAGTGCCTGTCATGACTCTACAGGCAGGAAGTGAACACACACAACTGAACTCAGTGGTGCTGCCAACAAAGACAATAGAACGCACCTCTAAAGAAGGTACATTAAGTCCCTGGCAGTCTTCCTGCCCACAACGGCAGCCAGGCCCAACACAGTGGGCACAATATACACTTAGCATATGTTAGTAGAATGAACACAGATGTGCTAGAAATGTCACACAAATAGCCATGGAAACCCACACCTATAGTCCTACAGTGAGGCATATTCAGGAAAAGCTATCCCAGGAATCCCTGGCCTTACCGGCTATAGGAGAATTAGACAGGATGGAGAAGGAGCACACATTGTGGGACTGGTTTTCAGAGGGTCTAGGGAGTAGTGTCCTCTGCAAAAAAAAAAAAAAAAAAAAAAGCATATAGTAAATGTGATAAGAAGACATCAGTGTCAAAAAGATCAGTTTAAAATGCTTGGGAATAAGACCTTTCCCAAGGAAAACTGAATATCAGTAGGATCTAGTTGAAAATCTAGAATGGTCTCAATTTGGCTGGAAGGCACATATAGGCATCTGTTTACAACCATGGGATTGATAGGACTGATAGGGCTCAATGCAGTGCATTTTGGTGGCCAGAATGGAGAAAGCTAAGGGACTGCTTGTTACAAGAGGCATTGAGAGACAAGAGAGATCATTTCCAGGTCTCCTTCCTGCATGTGAACACAAGGTCCTGATGCACTTATAAGTACCTATTCAACTAAGAAGAACCTGAACTGACCACCAACAGTGCTAACAGTGCAACATTTACAAGGGTCTGTCAGTCACACTGGATCATGACACAACTGAGGTTGCCTTGAGACCTTTGCTCATGCATGATCTCCCCAGGATGTTGGCAAACAGCAGAGACCATACCTCATTCCAGAGGCTAGGCAGTACTCAGGAAGTTTTTTCCATAAAGGGCCAGACAGAATGCTTTGGGGCCATTATTGCCCCTGATCTTGTGGGAAAGCAGCCACAGAGAGTGTGCACATAACTGACTATGGCTCTCTGTTAATAAAGCTTTACTAATTTACAAAAATATTAAGTGGAAAAGACCACATACTGTACAATGCCATCTGAGGAAATACCCAGGATAGGCAAGTCCATAGAAATAGGTGGGTCGGCAGTGATTGATTGGTAACAAGGTTTCTTCTGAGTGATGAGAATAGTCTATGAAAAGAACATGAGCTGGTAACACCCCATACCTATACTAAAACCTGTCCAACTATGTACTTTAAATGAGTGTGCATATATAAATGTGGATATTTTATTTGGTTTTTTAGAAATGGGGTTTCTTGGTGTAGCTTTGGAGCCTGTCCTAAAACTTGCTCTTGTAGACCAGGCTGGCCTCGAACTCAGAGATCTGCCTGCCTCTGCCTCCTGAGTGTTGGTATTAAAGGTGTGGGCAACCACTACCCAGCCGGATATCTTAAATAATAAAAACAGGATAGGGATGGGAAGATGGCTCAGGGAGTAAGCACTTGGTATGCATGTATGACACAGGAACTCTGATCCCCAGTACCCATATAAATGTCAGGTGGGCATGTCAAGCCACCTGAAACTCCAGATTGCAGGAAGCAGAGACAAGGGATTGCTTGAGCAAGCAGGCTAGCTAGACTAGCAGAGCTTGAGAGCCCTGAGTTCAAAGAGAAGCCTTGCCTCAATATATAAGGTGGAGAACATTAAGGAAGAAATTTGCTATAGACCTCTGGCCTCCATATGTACAGACCTGTACACACACTGAGCCACCACACACGTTTGTCTCATTCAGAAAACAAAACAGACTTGGCTTAGACCATGGGGTTTAGTTTAATATTCAGAAGTTGAATTTAGCAGCCACAGAGTCTCTACCAAGTTAGGAAGTATTTTCCCACTTCTGGGACAAAGGAGCAAAGAAACTGAAGTTAAACTGAGAACTAAGGGAGCATAAACAAAACTTAAAAAGTTTAGAATGCATACTTCCTAACATCATTCATGTAATAATCCTTTTGTTTTATAGCACAGTCTCACCTTGTAGCCACTAAGTTCTGCATACTTCTTATTTATAAATAAACTAATCTCAAGAAAGAAAAATGTAGCTACTACTGCAAGTTCACTGGCAAGGCAAGATGCCACTACAGAAAAATATTTTCTTTAAAATTATGTTCATTTATGTAGTATGTTCTCATACCCTGACATGAGTGTAGGGGTAAGAAGACAACTTTATGAGTTGGATTTTTCCTTCTAAAACGTGGGGATGGAACAAAGATTGTAAGACTTAGTGGCAAATACCTTTACCCACTAAGTCACTTCACCAGACTCAGAAAAAAAGATCTCTAAGAGACAGAGCAAAAGGAAACTAGTCTATTTGTGTCTTCCAAAAACTATACACATTCACAAATCCCTATGGCTATGCTATTACAGCCTTACTTCCCTGTCTTTCATGTGGAAATGCTGTTGTCTTCTTTCTTGGGTGCCTTGTATATCCTGTGTCTGTCATGACTTGTAGATGGCATTTGTGTATAGTTCTACAAATCCTTGCTTCTGCCAGTCCAACTTTTGCCTCCTGACTATTTTAAGCCCAAGCTCTGGCAGTTCCTGGAAATATTCCAGCTTGGACTCTCTTGTGACCCAGAAGCCCAGCCTCGTATATAAGTAATTTTCAATGCTAATAAAAGTCTATCTTTATTTATATGGGTACCGTAAATATTCTGTTCCCGGTTTTGTTTTCCCTATTAATAAGAAAGACAAGGGCAGGAGTTTTCTCTATTTCACTCTGAAAATCAAAGACATGGAAGAAAACAGTATCTCCTGGCCAGTTCAGTAGCTAGAGTGGGGACCTAACAGACATACTACAGACGCACAGATTCAAGCAACATTCCCTCACCTGGACCACCAGTGGCTTTCGTAAGTGCCGTTTCCGTAGTTTCTTGGGCTTTGGTGAGAAAAAGTCTGACTGTATCTATGAGACAAAGAACATGAGCCCTGAGAATAGGCATTCTATCTGTGAAGCACACTATAGTCACCCAACTTGGCACTCCCAGCACTCACACTGATGGAGTCCAGGTGCTGCCTAAAAGTCATGTCTGCCTCCTTACTGGGAGAGAAGAGCTTTCCATGTCGACTATTGGGTGGCAAAGTCGTTGGGACAGCAAAGAGGCCACCATCTGAGTCACCACTTCCTGTGCTGGAGGAACCAGCCACCAAAAGAGGCCTTGGGGGATTTCTCAAACCTGGAACAGAAGGGAGAATTATGTGCTGACACTCACTTACATCCCATCCCCTCCAGGGCAAGGGAAGCTCCACTAGGAAGTAAACCAGGAAAGAAAGCTGCCTATACTCTATCCTAGTAAAGTACTGCCTTGCTTTCTTTGATTCCTAGCCCTATTTTACAGGTACTGCAGGCCTCTTGATTAAAAGTACATTACCACTGGTCTATGCTCAGAGAGCAAGAGAGCGGGCAGGACAACCCATCAGGACTTCAGAGCTAACACAACCTTAGGACATTCCTAGCTGACCAAAAGAAAACAGCCTCTCTACAGAGGCTAGTTAGCAACACACTCAGTCTCTACAGCAACTCAGTTTCACGTGGCAGCAACAGAGCAGCCACAGTTGTATATCTGAAAGAGAACATGGTTATATTCCTATATAGCTATTTGTGTGACACAGGCAATTACACAAAGTAGGCTACAGCTGCACATTATTGACCGCTGGTTAAAATCCCTTACTGTGTAGAAAACAGTCCCAGTGATAATGGGACAGAAAATATTTATTTCACAATAACCCTGTTGAAATGCCATTGTGGTAATGCTGCTACAAAGCACTTTCATGGTTCATAGCTTGGTATGGACCACACATAGCTCACAGGTCAAGCTTGCCAGACATGATATACATTTCTGGATATACAGGACCCTGGGCCTACAATCCTCAATCAGAGAATGCTAGAGGACATTGAGAAATTCACTTGAAGTCAGAAAAAGCAATCATGAGCTGCTACCTGGCCCACTTCAGAGGATATGCCTTCATCTCAAGGATTAGTGGTTTAGGGCTTGTTTCCTTACACAGCCCCCTAAAGGAATATGGAAGGGGAAGCAAAAACAAAAAAACAAGCAACTGCAAGATGTTTCCCCAAAATCACAACCCTGAGCTCCACACAGGTCACTGGAAGGGTTGTCTGTAGTAGAAAGGCTGATCACAAAACAGTAAATCAGAGATATTGTAAAGCCATCAATGTTCTTAAATGAAAAACAGTAGTATTAAAGAACTGTTATCCTGACAGGATACTATATTTGTTTTACCAAAAGAATTACTGTTATCTTTGGTAAACTGATGTAGGGCTTCCTTACAACAGAGGGAAAACAGCCTCTGTAGGTTAAAGCAAGCAAAACTGATGCCCTGGGAAATAAATGCGATGTACCCAGTCAGAGAATCAAATTTCTTCCTAGGGGCTGCCGTGATACCTCAGCAGCAAAATGTTGCTTAACATGTACAATGTCCTGAGCTCCATCCTTAGTACCACAAAATAAACCAAAATTATTTCTCAGATGAAATGTAAGGGTATACTTAAGAGCAGGTTATTCCATCTTTCTTTCCAATGCTGCATTAGACTGCCAGCATGCCCATTAATAGAAAACTGCTTTATTCAAATGTTCTGGAGGTAAAGAAAATAAAGTCACTACAGATTCCCAAACCAACGCTCCTTAGTGGCTTTAAGCTACTCAGTATATTATGAAGGTTTCTGATGCAAAACTTCCAATGTGACCAGACCAGTAAAGGATACCCTACCCTCTGCTTAGCACATGAACTCGGTCTTTTATGACATTCTCCTGTGTTCACTATCTCCAATGGAGGTGATCCTCTGCCTCTGCTATGCCCACTAGACCATGGGTGGTAGACAGCAGGACCATGCATGTGTTCAGTTCTGACACAGTACCAAGGACAACAGGATACCCTGAAGCATACCTGGGGAACAAGGTGCAGAACCAGATGGGAAAGTCTTGCTGCTTCGGAGGGCAGATGGATTTCGAGAGCAGCGGGGACTCCGAGAGCTGATGGTCACTACCTTCCCTGGGGGGGTTGTAGACTGTTCCTCCTGGGTGGGCCTGACTGAGGCTGTTGATGCTGCGTTTGCTTCAAAAGCCTGGAAAAACATCAGGTTTCAGATTCAAAGGAACAGGTTCAGCTCAAGAAAAATAGGTAGGTCACAAATATCCTAAGGACATCCATTTCCATGATGGCAAAAAACAAAAACAAAAATACCTTGGAATGAAATACCTCAAAGTCGCAATTTACAAATTTTTTAAAAGATTTATTTTTTTATTGTATATACACACACATACCCCGGTGCTAGGAACTGAACTCTGGTCTTCTGAAAGAAAAGCAGCAAGCATTCTTAACTGCTGGGCCATCTCTCCAGGCCTCGGTGGTGTTCTTTATTTAAATAGGGTCTCACCCTGTAGCCTTAGCTGGCATGTATCTACTAAGAAACCCAGGCTAGCCTCAAACTTCTAGTGATATACCTGCCTTAGTATTCCTAGTGTTAGGACCACAAGCATTAATCACACCTAACTCTAATTCTCCAGGTGAGTGAGATGAATAATTAAAGCAACTCATTGCTTTCCTCAGGAGATCCTAGCCTGTCTCCATTGCCAGAATGCGGTGGTGAGAACAGACAAGCAGCTCTATGGCACATAGGGGACAGGGACCAGCAGAACAGAGTTATAGTATAGGGAAGAGGTACTGCTAAGTGACAAAGGTTTATCTTTTTAAAAAGCCATGGCGAAAAGACAGCCTAAGGCAATCATGTTAACTTCTGCTACTGTGAGTCAGAAGAAGGAAACAGATGAAAAACCTTTTGCCTAGCTCCCAACCTCATGAGTGTCCAGGGCTCTTTAAGGGATGGCCTCAGGGGCTACAAGGAGAAGGCTAAACAGGTAAAGGCACTTGACTCACAAACCTGAGGATTTGAGTGTGACTCACTGGAACCATGTAAACAGCTGGATGTGAAGGCACACACCTGCAATCCCACAGTTCTTACTAGATAAGAGAAGGAGACAGAATAGACCAGAAGCTAACAGGTCCACTAGCCTGGAGAAGTGAAGTGCAGTGACAGAAAAAATAAGGGACTCTGCCTCAAAACAAGGTGGGAGGAAAACCAACTCTAAAAAGCTGTCCTCTGACCTCCATGTGTGTACCATGCATTTGAACACCCACATTTTCACATACAAACTGATAGCAAATGAAACAAAACAAAACAAAAGACAAAAGCCATAAAAATAGATGGCTTCAAGTCCTAGGACTTCACAAAGGCATCTCACCTCTTTGTTGCCGTTTCTATAGATGCCCTCTACAGTTCTGTCCAGATCCTCACTATGGCCTCATCTGTTCTGCCCAAGCACTCACTGCCAAGTCCACCATTGCCAACATGTCCCTGTTCCCTGTATCTTTCTTCTGGCCTCTAGGTTCTGGGAATAGTAGTAGTATTCCCACCTCAGACTGAGCATTTCAGGTGACTCTGGCAAGTTCCTGACTGAGTCTTAGGACTCTTGGGAGTACTTGCTTGCCACAGGTCTGCCAGGCAGAAAAAGAGGGACAAAGGACAGACGGCCTATCTCTGACCCAAGGTCTCAAGTTTCAACAGAGCCCATCAAGTCACTATAGGGACATGGCTATCGTCTGCAACACCTCTTCCCCAACCCGTGGGAATGTCTGTCCTTTCTTTTCTCCTTCATCTTTCCTTGTGTTTTTAAAAGTCCAGCCTAGCCTCAAACTAAGTGTTCCTTTGTAAGCCTCCAGAACAGTGGAGTGCTCAGAGAGGTAACGGCATATGCTAACCCTGTAATCTTGTTTCAGTGGTGTTAAGGCTGCTATCCAGGAGGCTACCTCGGGTGCCTCAATAGTGCTTCTGGTTCATCATTTTCCACAATATTGTTCCAAACTGCCTCACTTACCTTCCAGTTGAAGTCAAGGCCTCTTATTTTCCCACTGACTCAGGTTTGCTCTGGCTTCCTCTCCTTGAGCACTAGACCATACCACATTTTTCCACAAAAGGCCAAATGTGAAGTCTTTTAACTTGTCATCTGTTTAGTCACAGCTTGCTTATACCAATAACCCTGCCACTGGATCCACTCAGAGGTTCTTCCACGGTGCTGAAGCTGTAGACCTTCACTATCAGCCCTGACATAAGGTATAGGACCTACAGCCCTGGTGATTATGCTACCTTTGGAATTCTGAAGAGCCATGCTTGACACACAAACCCGTCAATGTCCTGGGCTGATCTAACCACTCACCATCTTGGGGTGGACTTCAGTGGAGATAAGCCTCAGGAGGCAGCTCAGGAGGCGTTGCTGGTGGAGGGCTGAGGGTGGAGAATGGGGCAGGACAGTCTGGCTCTGTGCTGTGGGTGCTTGGTTCTCAGGGCCTAGCACAGCCAGCCAGTCATACTCCAGCTGTAGCTTACTGGGCTTTCCCATCATGAGGTAGACTTCAGCCAGCGTGAGGCTCTCAGAGGTCTGCAAGCTCCAGCCCTCTTCACGCAGCTGCTGGGCCAGCTGGCTGGCAGGGACTTCCTTTGAAGGCCTGGCCGCAGGCTGTCCCTGAGACAACAGAGGTTCTGAGGGGCTCCCTTTCTCCTGGGCCTCTTCAGGAGGTACATCTGCCAGCTCTTTAGTACAAATATCTGGCAGAAGCCTGGGGTCAAGTTGAGGATCGACGCCAGTTTGAGGGTCCAGGCCAGGGGGACCGTTGTCAGCAACCTCTCTGCTGCTGGGCATGAGGGCCTCTGGGGAAGCTACCCTGCCAAGAGGGTGCTCTCTCCCAGACTGTGTGTCTGTACAGCGGCACTGCTCTGGGATGATGAGATCCTGGCAAGACTTCAGGTATCGGGGAAAAGGGTCAAGGAGTGAGAGTTCATCTTCCAAATCTGGGGGATGGCCGCAGGAACATGGCAGGGCCCCAGATTCTTGAATGGGGCTGTCCCCACCTACTGCAAGGGCTGCTAGATGAGTCTTCCCAAGCTGTGGGCCAGAGTCCTGGTGCCCATGAGGAGGCCTGTCAGGGGCATCTGAGCTGCTCAGACTTGGAGCTGCCCCCTCTCCAAGAGCACTCTCAGGGGAACTCTCCCCTGAACTCTGTGAAGTATCTGCATTAGGAAGGAGCCGCCCCCCACCCTTGCCTTCAGCACTGCCCCTCTGGCACTTCACCTGGCCTCGGGCTATTCCCTGACCACTCTGGATGCCCAGGATCTGGGCTGGAGGCAGTGTGTGTGTGTCCTTGGTGCCCTGCTTGCACCGGCCACCCTCTTGCCAGTGTACAGTGCAGAAGGCCTTGGAGTGTACCACACGGGCCACACCCGGCAGTGGCGTCAGTGTACAGTTCTCGCCTGGGAACAGGTGCAATGCCACCTTCTCCTGGGTCTGCGCTGTGCTTGAGCCCTGTAGCTGCCTCTCCTCAAGTGTCTTCCGCTGGGCACACTGTCAAGGAGCAACTCCAAAAAAACTACACTGTGACCAAGGTACTCATCAGTGGAGAACTATGGACTTCAGACTAGGGCCTTCTTCCCTAGGAGCCCCACCTACCCCTCGATATTCCTGGGGCTCACATAGGAACTTTCCTCAGGCTACTACCAACTGTGCTGGCTCAGGTATTCAGTGTATTCACCTGATGACAGAACTCATTCCTGGGAATAAGCAGGGCCAATAACCCGCCAAGGACACAAAGGAGGCTGCAATGTGTGTCTATCATCCCACCCACTCTACTGATGGGGATACTTAGACCACATCTCATGGGCCAGATAGTTGGCCACTCAAAACATGGAGAGGTGGCTGAGACTGAGTACAAGCAGAACAAATAGGACAAAGGCAGGACTTTAAACCTAAACCCAAGAGTGTTGGACTCCCATGGGGCCCCACAGCAATAACAGGAACTAGGGAACACAAGACCTCATTCCCAAGCAAGAATAGCTGACAGGTTTGGAGGATCTGCTTCAGTTGAAAAAAGATACAATTCGTACTTCATGGAGTGCCCACTTCTGCTTCAAGAACTCAATGAGACTAGAGACTTTTCGATGTAGCTCCACAATCATCCTATAAAATGAAAACAAGATTATAGTACAAAAGCCAGTCTTGGACGAGCTCTAATGACTGCTTGTACCAAAACCACATGACCGATAAATAGGCACTGGAAGGAGGATCCACAGGATCTTCAGCTCCTAGTCCTGTCTGTTGAAAGTACTGTAGAGTCACAAAGAACTATAAATAACACAAAGAGGTCTAGGAACACTTTCCAATGCGGGTTCTCGGCTAGTGTGTGTGCATTCAAAGTATCACCACCTATTTTATCAGTGCTCTTTGTCTTCAAGGGTAAGTATATAGTTATCCCTAATTTGCCCTAAGAAAATAAAATAAACACATAGATGACATGAAGCACTAACACATGGTAAAATACAGATGAGCCTCCAAACACTAGTAGGCCAGTGAGAGATGCCAGATAGAGCTGATTCTTCTGTGTGACTCCATTAACATCAAATGTCTAGAAGAGACAAATCCACCAGGATAAAGAGCAGCTGGGGCAGAGACTAGCATTGGAAAAAGTGATGTTAACAGGCACATGGGATGGTGAAAACATTCTGGAAGTGAATTGAGATAAAGGTTGTACACAACACAGCGAACAAACTAAGTGCCACTTAACTATAAACACTCAAGTGGCTAACAGCTCACTCAATATTGTACGAACTTTACTTCAACTTAACAAACTGTAAATGGGCCAAAGGTATGTAGGGCTTTGTTCATAAATTACCCACAAATCTTCAGGGAACCAGAGAGAATGAAATGTAGGAGCTTTACTGGAAAGATGAAGATTCTGTGGGCAATCACAATGATATCTTCTTACTTGGCCAAAGACCCTTGCCAATTCAGGATCTCAAGACCACCCTCCCACTCAGAGCATTCTCATGACAAAGTCACCTCTACACCCTGTCCTCATATGGTGTCAGGACACTGGGCAAAATCTGTTTCTCTAGGATACCCTGAGTGAAACTGAAACACCAAACCCTCACGTCCTGTCTGTCATGGGGCCCTTCCTCATGCTATATGTCACCTGAGACGTGGGTTCTGGGCCAGGCTCTGTACTCGTGCCCAGGCGTGATTGTTCCGTGGTTGTAGTTCTACAGGGACTTTCAGGGGTAGGCGTACTGGCTTCTGGTCTTCTTCATCACTTAGACCTGAGGAAAAGAGACCATGAAAGTCCAATGCAGACCAACCTCAAGGTAGGAAACAAAACACTTTGACAGAAAATCACAGGGAACTGAGACTGAACAAAGAAAATGGTCTTATGCCTAGAAATAAGGAGAAAAGAGGAACCCTAGCAAAAGTCAAACTCAATATAGTGAACTGCATACTTGCAAAGGCAGAACTTTGGATAGACCCATCTGTCAGAAAGTTGCTATTAACTTTTTAACATGGAAGTAACTTTAAGAACTGTCTATTTGATGGTCATAGGTGGACCACAGCCAGGTGATGGTGGCACACGCCTTTAATACCACCACTTGAGAGGCAGAAGCAGGTAGATCTCTGTGAGTTTGAGGCCAGCCTGGTCTACTGAATGAATTCCAGGATAGCTAGAGCTGTACAGAGAAACCCTGTCTCAAAAAACTGAAACCAAAAACCAAAAACCCAAAACAAACAAAAACACCCCTGCCTATTCACAGGAGATGGTTAAACAGAGTCAGTCACAAAGAACCATAGCCTGCCCATCATGGAATGAAACAAAATAACCATGGAAGCTACAACACATGCCACCCCTTCCCCTGTCACCTACCATCTGGATCGCAGAGTTTCTTTAGGGCTCGACACATGGGTGCCTTGATCCGCAGATTTCTCCCTTTATAACGTACTGTGGTGGCCCTGGGAATAGAATTTGAAACAATGCTGAGGACTTTTATGTCTGAAGTGTGGAAAGCAGGAAGGCCTGGTAAGCACCCATTCCTATGCTGTCAGTCATGGTTACCTTGATAGTAGGTAGAGGCAGGATCTCTAGATATCTGCTGCTTTTCTGACCAAGGGACATGTGCTATTTATAGGAAGCAAACTGTGATGAAAGCATGACATTGAGTGTCACATACAGCTAGGCTCACTGTTGAGCTGCTCTGTTCACCCCATCTCTAAGCATTCCTCCTCCTTAGGGTCTTAAAACAGAAACCCCATAGCTACCTCTATATGTCTTTCCACATGACCTGCCTACCCACCTTTACATGACTTCTTGTCAACTCTTTATTACCAATTTGCCACAGCAGTGTAATCCCATCCCCCTGTAATCCATACAGTAGGGGAAGGGTATAAGCAATTAGAGTTAGGTGTCACAGGCCCAAACTCAAGACCTTAGGCCAGCCAAGGTCTTTTGCTGGAGCTGCAGTAGATTAGACATTATATACATTATAGAAATATTGTTTGGCTACTGAAATGAAGGTGAAAACTCCTTAAAAAATAACACAAAGCAAAAACAAAACAAAACCAAACCCATAGCAGGAATGCTTTCAAAGCACTCAGTAAAGGTAGCTGGTTTTCAGACAGTCAACATGACAGCCAAAGGCTAAGACTAATCAATCTGACACCTGAGTTTCCACTGTTTGAAAAGACAAATGGTGCACTTTGGATTCAGATTAAAGCAGATCCAGGTTGAAGAAAAGGCTCTGGTCAACCACCTATAGGGGAAGGAATATGTGCTTCCATTTTATAACACATTCACACTATCTACCTTTTTATGCTTCTTTGCTTTAACCCACCTTTGTTGTTGTTAGACAGGGTCCCACTATGTCCTGGAGCTTACTATGTAGACCAGACTGACCTCAAACTCAGAGACCTCCTTGCCTCTGCCTCCTGCAGGATTAAAGAAGTATGTTTCCACCTCCCCCTCTTTTTTTATTTGACCTACTCTCAGCTGTGAGCATGTCAGTTATGACAGCAGTTTCTATTCTTGCTATTTAATTTCCAAGACATATGCAGGAAAGTGCCAGAATATACATGAGGTGATTCTAAAGATGTGGAAGAAATGATATAGTCATACTAGTGTGGATTCATATCCGCATCTAAGTGTTTATTCATGTAAATTCCCTAAGGTAAGTTTTAGTTGAGAGGAAGGAAATGGGCTAGCTGGTGATTTTACATTTCTTTTTTTTCCCCCCTGAGACAGGATTTTTCTGTGTAGTCCTGGCTTTCCTTGAACTGACAGAGATCTACCTGCCTCTGCCTCCCAAGTGCTGGGATTAAAGGTGTGCACTACCACTTCTCTGCTGATTTTGCATGTTTAAACTATCCAAGAAAAAAGGTATTCTTTCAGAACGTATTTATACTATACTGATATAATTTTTAAAAAGTTGTTCTAAGATAATGATGCTTAAATCTGGAGATAAGAATCTGAGGTAGGGCTAGAGAGACAGCTCAGTGGTTAAGAGCACTGACTGCCCTTACAGAGGTCCTGAGTTCAATTCCCAGCAACCACATGGTGGCTCACAAGCACCCATAATGGGATCTGGTGCCCCCTTCTGGCCTGCAAGGACACATGTAGGCAGAACACTGTATACATAAATAAAAAATCTTAAAAAAAAAAAGAAGAATCTGAACTATAGCTTTAAGCAGAACAAGCACAAGAAAGGCTCTGTTGATACAATACTTGATTTAAAAAGCAATTCAAATAAATACATGCAAAGCAGGAGACAACTAGGCCTAAAGTCAGGAGAGAGGCACTGTAGCACATACCTCTGAGAATAAAGTGTGTCCTATATCCTGAAAAGGAGTATGACTCAGGTTTTAGTATTATGAAGTCTCAGAACTCTGCATAGTGGTTTTCATATTGGCTTCAAACACTTTAAGGTTTTCAGCAAGTACTCATAAGACAATTAATTCAAACAGTGGGGTCTCATATGGGATGTGGGTACAATCATTCGACACAGACAGCTCAGTAATTCCTCATGATAAGGCAGCTACAGTCTTATCCACTCACCCTCCCACCTGCACATCTACTTACTTATCCAAGCATCCATTTTCCTCCTCACCCACACACAAACCCATGTATCCACTCATAAATGTGTCTACTGACTCATCTGTCCATGTTTTCTCTCATTCATCTGTTTTCCATCTGCGAATCTATCCATACATTTATATTTATCCTTCCATCCATCTACCTATTAGCACATTCATCCATCTATGCATATATCTGCCCAATCATTTGTGTATCTTTGTACACATCTATCTATCCCTCAACTTTCTATCCACCGATTCATCTGCTCAACTGTCCTCTTAAATGTCTTTCCATCAATCCTAACTATCTCTCTGTCCATCACTTCATCTGTCATATGCACCCATCCATCCAAGGACCCAACTACCTCTGGATGCTAGACACCAAAATGCAAAGCTAAGAATAAGAAAGCCTGACTAGCCCGGCGTTGGTGGCCCACGCCTTTAATCCCAGCACTCGGGAGGCAGAGGCAGGCGGATCTCTGTGAGTTCGAGGCCAGCCTGGTCTACAGAGCGAGTTCCAGGACAGCCTCCAAAGCCACAGAGAAACCCAGTCTCGGAAAAAAAAAAAAAAAAAGCCTGACTAAAGGAGCAAGAAGAGCCTAAGAAGGCTAGCACCCCTTACCCACTTTCCACCTGGAGGGATAATTGACAGAAAATAGGTCTCAAAGTAACCACACATTTTAGTAACAAATTACTGAACTCCCTTATACCAGGTGAAACACACTAATAAAAAGGGACACAGCACTAATAGTGACGCAGCAGGGGAACCAGGAAGAAAATTTTAAAGAGAGTAATAAAGCATGGAGGAGGAGTCAATTTCTTTTTCTTTTCTTTTTTTTTTCTTTTTTTTTTTTTTTGGTTTTTAGAGACAAGGTTTCTCTGTGTAGCTTTGGAGCCTATCCTGGCACTCACACTGTAGACCAGGCTGATCTTAAACTCACAGAGATTTACCTGCCTCTCTCTCCCAAGTGCTGGGATTAAAGGTGTGAGTCAACACCGCCCGGTCAGGAGCCAATTTTTCAACAACTTTCTCCAATCAAGAGCCCTCCCAGGGACTAGGCTTTAAAAACAAAACATGCATACATGTATACACGCATACACGCACACACACACACACACACACACACACACACATCAACAAAAACTCTTGCTCAATGCCATTGATTATCAAAGAAATACAACTCAAAGCAATTTCATACCAAGTTGGACATATCAGTATCAGAAGTCCTTGGGAACATGGAGGTACCTGAGCCAGGCTTTTGAAGATAGTTTCTAGTAAAGACCGACATATGTTCACATCTCTTCTTAGGGGATACCCAGATGAAATAAAATCTCATGCTCACAAAACTCATGGTTTAGCCCTAGAGTTAGTTCTTCAAAAACACTAAAACACCCTAAATAACCCAGTAACACTCCACAAAGGACAGATCAACAGATAAGTATGTTCATGATATTAACTCCACTGGGCAGGGAAAGGCAATGATCTGTGGAGCTCTGTACAATGCCTCAGAGTGTCCTATGCACACTGCTCAAGGAGAGCAACCAATCTCACAGGTTATATGATGGTTCCAAACAAACAGCTTCTCAGAAAAGGCAGACATTGTAAAGAGTAGCACTATGGTGGCCCTGAGTTAGGCATGGGCTAGACATTCCCTGCTAAAATGTTCTTGTTAAACTCACAGAACCATGAATGACAAAGGCCAATCTAAACAGGCTGTGTACTGGCTAACTCCCACCAAATGATGCTCAAGGGAAAGCAGACCTCTAAAATAGTAAAGGAAGAGACAAAGAGACAGCAGACAATGGCTTAGGACAGAGAACGTATTCTGAATGAAACTGTATTGATAGGGAGGGAAGTGTTTTATTGTACATCAGTACAACCTTAAACACACCTGACACCAAGATTCCTAACAAAAACCACAGTCAATAATGATGAAGCATTAGAAGAGGTACCGTAACTGGGATTTAAAGAACAAGCCACCAGGCTCATCAATTGTAACAATGCTATTTTTGATGTACTAGAAATGGAACCCAGGGCCTTGAGCAGGATCTTATCTTGCACCCCTCTACACAATTTTCTTATAAACCTAAAAACTACTCTTAAACAATAAAATCAATGCAAAAGTTACTATTTTCAATAAAATATGTAAACCCAAATGTCAAACTCATATATGTATATGTAAAATATAACAATACCAAGTAGGGAGCTGGGGAGATGGCTTAGTGGTTAAGAGCACTTGTTCTTTCAGAAGACCCAGGTTTGATTCTCAGAACCCATATGGTGGCTCACAACTATCTGTAGCTACAGTTCCAGGGATCCACTATCCTCTTCTGACCTCGACGGGCACCAGGGTATGTACATGCATCTACATAGGCAAACACACATAACATAAATAAAACTCTAAATAAACAAACAAAAAAAAACCCCACTAAGTGCCAGTCCTAATATGCACCCCTAACTTAACTCTTCACAGGAGCCAAAGGAATACTTTACCCAGAACTTTCCTGATTTGCCTGCTCTAGTTTCCAGAAATACCCGAAGAACACAGAAACCCTGTGCAATACAGCAGGACAAGGTCTGTCCCAACCCACCAGACTTAGACCTACACCTGTTCTTTCTTCTGTAGCCACTGCAGTTCCTTCCTTTGCACCTTGTGTACCCTCAGCCTAAACAGCACACCTCAGAAAGCTGCCTCTAGATGTTAAGACAGGATCCCTTCCTGTTACCTACTCACAGCTATCATTTCAATGTAATGTTCTACAGATACATGCAGGCACATAGGCACACACTTATAGGTACAGAAGAAGGGTCATTAACTGTAGACCTGCTTCTGGTGCAAGGCCACAGCAGCCTCCACTATAACACCCACCCTCTCATGATAGCACACAGTCACTTAGACATTTCCAAAGGATGAGTTTTTTTTTGTTTGTTTGTTTTTGTTTTTGTTTTTTGGTTTTACGAGTCAGGGTTTCTCTGTATTGTTTTGGAGGCTGTCGGTCCAGCCTGGCCTCGAACTCACAGAGATCCGCCTGCCTCTGCCTCCCGAGTGCTGGGATTAAAGGCGTGCATCACCACCACCCGGCTAAGGATGAGTATTTTATGTACACACTTTCTGCCTCGACTTGCCCGGAGGTTCAGATAGAAACCTCTGCACACGCTATCCAAACACCATGGTGTATAGTGGGGCAGTACCAGGTGAGGAGCCCATCAAGTAAAAGTGGGAGATGCCTATCAGTTTCCCTAGAGCTACTCAGAAGTTTCTCTAGGATACTGGCCTAGCCAGGAATCAGTGTTTCCTCTCCTTGCCACAAGATGCACCCCATGCTGACATGAACACTCATCCCACCAACACCCAGAACCCGCTTTATCCATCTGATCAAGGATGCTATGGTAGGGTCAGGTGAGTCCCATCAATAGTGGCCTTGTTATAAAGACAAAACCCAATAAAACAAACAATCCCCCATCCAGGGTGGTCATCTGCTCTACGAAGCAGTCACACAAGGAACACAGAACCCAGGAACTTTCAGGCTCCAGTGCCATTACCATTCCAATTTGATTTCCAAAGAACAAGGGATGCCAGTGTAAATATCTCTAAAAGCTGTGCCTGAGTCAGCATATTTAAACACTGGTATATGTATCCACCTGTTGTCCATGAGTATAAAGCACTCTCAAACTACTCAATCCAAAACTACCTTTCCATTTGTCCCTACAATACCTTCTACATTTATTTTTCGTTTTTTCTTTGTCAGTACTGAGGATCAAACCCAGGACCTCATACAAGCTAGGTTAGTGCTTCTTGTTACTTGCCCTGAAATCTGTTTCTTAGATGTTTTCTGGTGCATATCGAGTGGCAAGAGCCTGTGTAATGAAGACAGATCACTGGCCTATTCCCAGTACTGAGCCTGCCTTTCCAAATGTCCTGTCTCGTGCTTTGTTCATGAGACAAAGCAAAGGGTCTGAAACAAATTTAAACTCAGGGAATTCTGAAGCAAAATCAGGGAAGATCTGTTCCTGCCACATCAAATCACAGGGGTGGTACTAGGCCTCAAGGGACACTTCTCCCCTACTGATAAGACCGATAAGACCATAAGAATGATCACCTCATGAGCACCAATCTTCCCAAAAAAAGCTCCTATAACAGGCAACTACTCAACCTTGCCAAAAGAAAAAAAAAAAATAGGGTAAGAGGGAAGGAAGGTTGGACTTTTGAGTCCCAGATGGAAACTGAGAGAGAGAAAAAAGAGTTTTCAAGAAGGCCCCAAACTAGATACGGAACCCTCACAAGGGTCTTACAGTGTGGCAGAGCAGCAGCTAATTTCTACCAGGAAAAGTTGACAGAGACCTTTGGAAAAACTGAAGAAACTCATGAAAAAAATGTGTAGAAATATGTTCTGGAGCAGCCAAGAGGAGACTACACAAGGTGGGTATGAAACTGCAGAGAGGCTCAGGGTAGGATCTTACTGACCTATGTACCAACTCCAGAGACAAGCAGAACACAAGAGCACTCGAGAGGATTAAAATGCTAACTCTATCATCCAAGCCAGCTGTGCAATCCATGGAGGAAACCTGAAGACAAGGTAGTATGCCATCTCCATACTCAATCCTGATGTAGATGGTATCTTTGCAACAGAAAAGGTCAAAAACAATGAGCTGAAAACACCTTGGGGGCTTGCGACACTGTCATAACATACAAGTTCTGGAAGTCAAGAGAGCCAGATTAAGTGTTGAAAGCCAAGAGAGTCTGCCCAAAGCAGTCCAGGAGCCAACATATCAAAGTATTAAGGAAAGAGAATTCAAGCCCAGGCCAACCTTACACAGAGCCACAGGCAAGGGTTGGCACAAGGAACATCTGAGAGAACAAAAACACATGCCTAAGATGAGAATAAGATGTTTTCATTGTGTGGGTCCTAACCAAGAAACTGGAGGGCTGGTTAAATAATTAATGTCTTTATCATTAACTTGACACAACCAAGAGTCACCTGAAAGAGAAAATGTGAACTAAAGAACTGCCCAGGTCAAACTGTCTGGTAACAGTGTCTGTGAGTAACTGTCTTCACTGATGACTGAAGTGTGAGGGCCCAGCCCACTGTGGGCAGAATCATTCTTCAGCAGGGAGCAAGCTAGTAAGCACCATTCCTCCATGGTTCCTGCTTCAGTTTCAGCCCTGACATCCATCAATGATAGACTGCAACCTTAAAGTATAAGCCAAATCAGCACCCCTCCCAATGGCTTTTGGTCATGGTGTCTATCAGAACAGAAAGCAAATCAGAACACTGCACAATTTGATGACCTGAGTTCAATAAGTGGAGGTACCACAGTAGGAGTGACTGCTGAAAGCTATCCTGTGACCTCCACACAAACACCACAACACACATCAGCACTCACACACAATATGCACAATAATAAAGTTATAAAAGAAAATGAAGGAAAATAGCACATATTTCAACCTCTGTAGTTCAGTGCATGAACAGCATACACAGACACTTGTACTTACCCAACCTGAATAAGCTCGTTTAACTTTGTTGCATTCTTGTCATCCATGCCTTTAAATGTAAAGAAAAATAAATGAGGCTTTAGGGTAGTTAGAAGTAAATAATCACAATTCCTATATTATTGCCTTATTATTGCCTTCCACACAGACTGCAGATCTTACTAATGAATGTTCTATATCTTAAGGAATCTGCATCTGAAGTAAAATTGACCAGTATCTGCTGTGTCCCACACAGCCTCTTCCCAACCATTTTCTCAAGGGTCTAACGTGCTCCCTGTACAGCTAACCTCTTCTTCTAGAAATTGTCCCTGATAGTCTGGTACTGCTGAACCACAACTCCCATACCGCCTGAAAACTGCTTCCTTTGGGTATCTAACTGGGTCCTGGGCCTTCTTTCTCTGATGACTGTATGTGAACTTTCAGGTATTTAACTTGAACTGCAAGGTCTGTTAAATGATGACTCTAATGCCCTCGTTTCTCTGGCCTCATCATGTCTTCACAGGAAAGCAAGAATTAAAAAACTAACAGAAGAACCTAGGCACTGGGGTATGCACTATAAAATTCCTTAACAGTATTGAGTGACTGAGTAATAGTGGGATCACAATCACCCACCCAGGCAGAGAACCAAAGAAAAAAATGCAATTGTAAAAGCAGCCAGAGACGTACTGCACCTGTGAAGGACTTACAGGACTTCTTATCATAGATAATGCAGGACAGACACTAGAGAACAGTTATAAACATGATTAAAGAAGAAAAAGAAACAAAAAAAAAGAAGCAAAATGAGTCAAATCAGAATTCTACTCTGATGAACTTCTTTTAAGAATGAAAACAGACCTGGGCTTGGTGGCGTAAATCTTTAATCCCAGCACTCAGGAGAAGTATATGGATCTCTGAGTTTGAGGTCAGCCTGGTCTGCAAAGTGAATTCCAGGACAGCCAGGGCTACACAGAAAAATCTTGTGTCAAAAAACAAAAACAAAAACAAAAACAAAAAAAGAACGAAAACAAAATGAAGGCTTTTCAGATGAACAATAAATGAATGGATTCAATGCTGGTAGAACTACACCACAAAAAGTAAAGGAAGAGATCACTCTGAAGGGCCCAGAAGGGCCATGCCAAATGAAGGCATGGTCTTGCAAGAGCAAGGAGCACCATGGCCCTTAGATGGACACTAACTAATCTGTCCATGTACTACTACAAAACATGAAAAAAAAAGTACAAAAGAGTTTAAGTCAAGGAGACCAAACGTGTGTGAATGGGGACACTGGCGCTCACATCTACAGAAAATGGGTTAATGAAAAAGAAAGCCAGGGCAAGAGTAAGGCACTGCAGTCCTGTGTCTAGCAGGTTCTACAGAGAGAGGCTTAGGGGTGATGGCCAAGTGGAGTAGGCCAAATCAATTAGATGGGACCTTAGACCTTATGAGACATGTCTTGGAAAAAAACAGGAAGAAGGGAGAGGAAGGGGGAAAAGTGAGAAGTCCTGGACATCACATCTAGTAGATACCTGTGCCAGAACCACAGGCTGAGATAAGGACAAGCAGCCTTGAGGTACAGTCAGGCTAGGATCTATGAAGATTTAGGCAGAACTAAGGCTCCTGTCATATGCTGGCCCAACGAGGCAGTCAAGCAGAAAACCACCATGGCTTTGCATATGGTGCAGTAGTCCTGGGCAAGGACTTGACCATCACTTGGGGATGCTCTAAAGACTCTTGAATATAGGCAGTAAGTTAGTGAGACACTACACCCTTTGACTCTGCAATCATGACAGCTGGTGTGTAGAAGGGTCTAGTTCAGGTCATACGGCTGAGGTCTTTAGAGTGTGGGATAAAGATGTACAGTTACATGATAGTGAGGAAAAAAAGCACCTGTGTGTGTAAGCCTATGTGAAAAGCATAAGCAAACATTAGTAAATGGCAGACTACATGAAAGAACAGTCATTATACCTTTTTTCAACTTTTCTGTTGTCAAAAAAAGTTTCAACATAAAAGTTGGAGAGAAAACAGGCATTCCTATGCACTAAAGATCAGTGGTGATGAGGACAACAACCCACTATGATGATCCAAGAACAGCAACAGTACTTACAACCCCCGATCTTCTTTCGTAGCTCTCCATAGCAGATGAGACCATACAGTTCCTGGGATGATTTCTTTAGCCCTCGAGAGAACACTGGAAGATAAAGGACAGATGTTAGGTGGAGGGACAGAGACATCATAGGGTACAGCCTGTTTGTACAAGAACACTGGAAGCACACTCTCAAGAGGCTAAGACTGATCACATATGCATCACAGCATCTTGGGCATATAGTTACTGACCTCTGAAGAAACTGGCAAAAAGCATGAGGAGCAGTGTTGCTTTACTCCAAGTAAAAATCTAAAAAATAAGGTCTAAACATCACTCCTGACAGGTAGAGCAAGTGTCTCCTGGAAAAGAAAATGGCTTGACTGACAAAGAGTGTTCTCAGAGAATGGCCAGTACTGTTGATGTTACTTTTCTGACCTGGCAGGGGTCCCACAGCCTTGGAGTCCCAAATAAACACACATTTGCTATATCAATCATAAATCTTTTGGCCGATGACCAGGGCTTCCTATTGGCTAGCTCTGTCTTAACTATTAGCCCGTTTCTATCAATCTATGCATTGCCATGAGGCTGTGGCTTACCTGGTAATGCCCCAACATGTCTTTACTCCCTCAGCAGCATCATGACTCTGGCTGTGAATGGAGGAGGAAGTCTGGAAAGGTGAAGCCATGGGGGATTCACTTTTGGAGAGGCTTCTGAGATGTGCTGTGAGGGGCTGCTAGTGGTGGCATCCTGAAGGGTCCCTGCCTGCTAAGGGACCTTCAAGACAACATTCTCTTCCTCTGGCTTTACTCTCCACAGAGTTCATACAGAATGCACATTATGAACAGTATCATAGGTCATTGCAACGGAGGGGTCGATATTGAGGAACACAATTTTCAATGCAGGATCTATGACACACTGCACTGGTGATGAGCCAAAAAGGCTTCCAGATTTAAAATCAAGTGGAGTAATTTCATCTAGTGGGTGTAGCATGCTGAACAAAGGTTCTCTAGGTAGACTTGGAGGCACCACATGTGAAGAACTGCATTGTTCAAACAGCAAACCACATTATGTGACCTAAACATTTGCCATCTGAAATGGTAAAGCTATATAATCTTTCCCCTCTATGCTGTGAATGTTCATAAAAGAGCTCTATAATAAACATATGCATTTCTCTACTTCATGGCTCTTGGGATGTAATGAAGTCCCACCACAATGCCTGCTGGACAGTGCCGTGCCATTCATTGTGATGCTTTGTACACTACCAGTGCCTGGCTTTTACTCCCTTTGCTCCAGATATCCATGTTCCCAGTCACATAGAGCTCTTCATAGTAGTTGGCTACATCTCCAATCTCACTCACACTATTTCCTAACTGCCAGCTTCTGTTTTTTGTGGATTGTAACCTCCTGAAGAGACCCCACCAAGTCAGCTGCACCATCGGAGGACAATAATTCAGAGGCTGGCTGAAGCTGACAAAGCTGAAGGTTCAAAGCATTAGGGTGGTGCTTGCAGTGGTCACAACCAAAAGGAACAAAAGTCCTGCAAATCCCTGGCTGCAATCATCATTGCCCTTTCTTCAGAGAAGTTCGACATGGGTTCCAAACATTATTTGAGTGACTCGGTACGCATCAAGTGCTTGAGCATGAGGTGCTTGCGAGCCCTGGCTGCTCCCCAGAAGCACAGGGGCCATGGAGGTTCCTCGGCCACCAGAGCTTCTCATCCCCTTTCCCTCCCTGACTCCAGCAGAAGAATGGGCCTCAGTGGAGAACCGAAGACAAACAGGCAGAACTCAAACGGAACCAGGCAGGGACCCTTCAGGATGCCGCCATTAGCAGCCCCTCACAGCACATCTCAGAAGCCTCTCCAAAAGTGAATCCCCCATGGCTTCACCTTTCCAGACTTCCTCCTCCATTCACAGCCAGAGTCATGATGCTGCTGAGGGAGTAAAGACATGTTGGGGGCATTACCAGGTAAGCCACAGCCTCATGGCAATGCATAGATTGATAGAAACGGGCTAATAGTTAAGACAGAGCTAGCCAATAGGAAGCCCTGGTCATCGGCCAACAGTTTCATAACTAATATAATGTCTAATGCTTATTTGGGGCAAAGAAGGGTGGCAGGACATGCCAGACAAGAAAGCTCATGTTATACAGCACCATCACACCTTAGGGCATAGAGTTCCCCAAGTGCAGGTGGAGCCATCAGCCTAAACCCTTAGAACCCACCTGCCCACTTGCCTATGACCTCCCCAGGTGAAATAGGTCACCAGTAGGTGCCAGATTTATTTAGGAAGAAAACAATCAGGGACATGGCCAAATATGGAACCCTGGACTGTTGTGTGAAACTTCACAGGCTCCTTTGAGAGGCTGAGATGGAAAGAGGCTATACTTTGGCCTGCTCCCTGTTGTTCCTCAGGGGCTTTAGTCTAGAGCCATCCTGTACACCCCAGTACACAGAGGACAGCAGAACAAGCCTTGGGAGCTCAGGTTCTTACACCCAGCAAGAGGAGAATGGAAGGCCGGGCGGTGGTGGCACACGCTTTTAATCCCAGCACTCGGGAGGCAGAGACAGGCGGATCGCTGTGAGTTCGAGGCCGGGCTGGACCAACAACCTCCAAAACAATACAGAGAAACCCTGTCTCGTAAAAACCAAAAAGAGAGAGAGAGAGAGAGAGAGAGAGAGAGAGAGAGAGAGAGAGAGAGAGAGAGAGAGAGAGAGAGAATGGTCCCCCATGCTAGCCACTGTTTCCAACAGATATTGTACATCGCAGACCGCTGAAGCCATCAACAGCAGTATAGGCACTGTTAAGAGCAGAGACAAATGGCCCCTGCAAAATTTTAACTGCTTTCTCTGGTTCTCTACTCAGAGACTTATAGGCATTAGCACTAAGCTGTGTAAAACAGGAAATGAATACACGAGTACAATTCTGGAACGTGGACTAGCTCAAAGACTCTAAAATATAAGAGGTGACCAATTCTGAAGGTTTTTCCGAGGACTTTCATGACAAACTTTCAAAAGAAATCCAAGATCTCTATGGATAACAAGAATGTGGCCCACAGAGCTCAGTGTGGTGACACATGCCTTTAATACCCACACTTGGGAGGCAGAGGCAGGCAGATTTGAGTTCAAAGCCTGCCTGGTCGACATAGTGAGTTCCAGGACAGAGAGAAACCTTGTCTCAAAAAATAAGTAGCCTATAAATATGATGGAATGTTGTTCAACTACACTAAAATATATGTAACCATAAAATAATACTCAGTCAAAGAAACCAGGTAAAAGAAAAAGACCAGGCACGCTACGAGACCATTTGCATGAAACATTCAAAACAGATAAATTCAAAGACTGTAGAAAAGTGGTTGTAGCAACTGGGGAGGGTCAAAGCCATAGGAAGGTTAATGGGTATGGGGACTTTTCTGAGGTAATGAAAGTGTTTTAGAACTAGACAAAGGCAGTACTTACAGAACATCATGAATGTACCAAATGCTGACCTACACGTAATAAAAAGAGGGTGAGTTTTAGAGTGAGTGCACCATATTTTTTAAAAACTCCACTATTTAAAATATCAAAGGAAAAAAAGGCCCCCACAAACACACCAAAAGAAGCCTAGTGGTGGTGGTATATGCCTTTAATCCCAGCACTGGTGGTGAGGCGGGAGTGGGGCAGCAAAGGGATCTCTGTGAGTTTGAGGCCAGCCTGGTCTTCAGAGCTAGTTCCAGGACAGACACAACTACACAGAGAAACCCTACCTTAAAAAAACAAAATGGGCTGGAGATAGCTAAGTGGTTAAGAAAGAGCATTGGCTGCTCTTCCAGAGGACTAGGGTTCAATTCCCAGCACCCACATGGCAGCTCACAACTGTCTGTAACTCATGTTCCAGGGGCTCTGACACCTTTACACCAATGCACATAAAGTTAAATAAATTATTGAAAAACAAAACAGCAGCAGCAACAACAACAACAGAAAAGGTGTAGAAAGTAGCTAAAGCTTGGGGAGTGGGAACCCCAGGGAGAAAAAAATGTCCCAAGGCACAGTGTTTTTCTGTGTTTCTTCACAAGGAGTATTGGGCTAGTATATACATACATACATACATATATATTGGTACAGGCTCAGAGCATGCCTTTTAGAACATCAAGTCTGTTGGGAGAGAAAACTCAAATGTGACAGGAGATAATAGCAGAAAGGTGGGCATATTGTCACTATTCTCTTTCCAGGAACACTAGAAGCAACCATCGGGACCTGTTTTCTGTGTGGAAACAACAGAGGACTATAAAACTACTAAAATTCCAGATGAAGCACACAGAGGCTAGAGCATTGAGCTGCCTTGGCAACTACCCAGCACTGGTCATCTTAGACTTCAGGACACAACAAATGCCCTTCTTACATCTGGTTTGGTTCTTAGCAAAGCTCCATGATAACCCAAGGATAGAATACTTTTTCTGTTAATCCAACAGATTGCTTGAGATACAAGGTATTGTGTTGTGCTAAAATGATGAAACACAACAGTACACAAGGACCCAACAGGGACCCCGGGCAATTCAAAACATACTAGTGACCCCTGTCCTGAGGTGCCCCAGTGTCTAAAGCCAGCTATAAAGGTTGGCCAGTATCAAGGAGCCTGGTTGAGAATCCTTTCTGGCACAGAGGCAAGTGACTAGCCACTGGCTACATGTGTTCAATGATGGCCCAACAGAACCTTGGGAGAGCCATAAACACACACAAAAATGGCCCCTCGTATCGGTGTGGCAGTGTCACACACCTTGAATCACAGCACTTGGGAGGCAGAGGCAGGTGGATCTCTGAGTTTTTGGCCAGCTTAGAACAACAAAAGGCCCTTCGTGTGTGATGACTATGCAGTCAACAGGAGAGAGGAAGGCATGAAGAATGCTGGGTCATCATCCAAGGAAGTGAAAGATACAGTTTGGTATGATCCTACAATGTGTTGAAGCCTCTACACCTCATCTCTGATGGGATAGAGAGCTAAAAGGAACGATGCTACCAGGAGCCTGAGGGACTTGGGGTTAGGAGATGGTTCTGCAGAGAAAGATAAAAGATAAGAAACCTCACCGTTATATACTTTGCAATACTAACCCAAAGGGAAAAAAAAAATCTCAGACTTGGCAGACCCTGCCAAGGAAAATCTACGTCTCAGGACCATGGACAAGACCCAAGTTTGTACCATCCATAATGCCTGAAGGTAGAGCTTGGTGAGCAAACCAGACACACTCAAGCACCACACAAGGCATAACTTGATCCACAACAGTCTTTCAATAACTCATTAGTCATCTTCTTACTGAGGAGACTTCAAGAGCAGCTGGAATGGATCCTTTGTCTTGGAATGACTTTCAGAACTTAATATGAGCTACAACAAGAGAAGAAAAAGTACATACACAGTGCATCTGGAAGGTGCAGAAGTTTCACTACAATAGGACATGAATGAAGACAGCCTTGGATCTCAGGTGACTGGACTGGTACTGAGACAGGCAAACAAACCAGTTATGGAACACACAGCAGTATTGGTAACTGAAAAGAACAAAATCGGGTTGACCTGCAATCTGCAGAAAAAAATCTTATGTTGATGGTCATACAAATTATGGAAGTTAACCAACAGACGCCTCCCAAGTGTGGAGATTGACAATGTAATCAAAGGGATTTCTAGAGATGGACAGACAAGAGGAGGAAGGATGTGTGACCTCACAGAGCTCTATTCCTCAGTCAGATGGGGAATCAGGAATTGTCTTTGAAAGCTATAGTAACACTAAGTATATCATAGCCAAAATATTGTGACCTGGCAAAGAGCACACCACAAGAGTGGTAAAGATCAGAGGTTTGGAAGGTCAACATGAAGGCATAGGCAGGGATCAGAAGTAGGAGTAATGTGGCCACAGCTGTACATTAGTGATTCCCAGGTCAGAAACTTTACTATCTAGAAAATCAAGAGTGAGTATTAGAAGGGAAGGATCTCTAACAAGCCCACTATAGAAACTGCAGAAACAAAAGGCAGAATGGAGTAGGCTGGGGATCAAATGAGTGCAGGGAGAGACTCCAGAAACATGGAAGAAGGTGGCTAAGTTTTACAGGGAGAGACAATAGATTAGACTAGAACTGAAGAGGTAGTCAACCCAGGTTGCTTCTAGCTAGAAATGAGACCAACAGCTAGAGATGACCTAGTCACTTCCGAAGATGAACTGGACTGTGCAAATCTTGACTGCAACACAGATGATCAGAGTACTGGCAAAGTCAACATCTATCCCAGCAGATCAGCACAATTTAGGCTTCCTTATATTCCTACAGCTCAACTTATCTCAATGCCCAAACTCATAGGGAGATCCAGAACCTCTGCCATGAGGCAGTTTCCTTCCAGATAAAAATCTTCCTCCACCTTGGGAGGGAAACTTCGTTGAGACATAGGAAGTAAAGAGAAAGTGAACAATCATACAGTGTAGAACAGCATGTTTACAACAGGATGTTCTAGGGGAAGGTAAAGTACTTCCTGTGTGGAAGCTCCATTTAGACAGAAGTGAACAACTCAAAATAGCTCTAGCAAGTACCTGAAACTGACCAGATTTCCTAGGCTAGATTCCCTCTGCAAGAGTATATAAGCAGTAACAATAACTAAGAATTACTCTCAGACTAATCAAACTGTAAAGAACTCTCAGTAAAGCCCAGCTGCCTGGAAGAAGGAGAAATCAGCAAGCTGCCTGGAGGAAATACAGACTAACTGAGTCACCTTGGAAGAACAGTTTTCCAACTTGTTGACTGCAGGGTATGCAGTGTGCTCCAGGATTCCAGCTTTGGTGAGCTGTCACACCCGCTGGAGTGAGCTTGGGAGATGCTACTGAAAGTAACCCTTCATTCATACTCCTGTAAACAGTCCCCCTAAAATTACTGGCCCACCAAATTGGAGTTTGGTGGTATTTGTACTTTGGTCTGTTATGTCATGGGCTCCCTCTCCCTCTCTGGGATGAGTAGGTGCTTGTGGTGTTTTACTTCCCAGGAAATCTCTCTCTCTCTCTCTCTCTCTCTCTCTCTCTCTCTCTCTCTCTCTCTCTCTCTCACACACACACACACACACACACACTCTGAAACACAGAAAACACAACAACTCAAATAGTAATAAATTCCCTATAACACAGATGCAGGCAGCTTCCTTACAATTAAGTTTGACCAAAAGGCTCTGGGTATGCCACCAACCAAAGCACTAGGAGACAAGTCCCATAGTGGGCAGCTGAGTGAGGATGGTGCCACAAAGAACGGGCAATGAGTGTTTGCCAGAAAAGAACCAACCCTGACTGGGAGTCTCCCAGAGACTGAGTCTGTGGAATGCTTACCATTGTCAAAATCAATATATTTGGTGATCTTGTGCCAGGTGCGGTAGTAGAAATGCCGGACTTGCTCCTTGTTCTTCACCATGCTTGCAGGTTTGCCCTTCTTCTTGTATTTCAGAGCAATGTTGTTCTGAATGGCTTCAAAGTCTTTTCCATGCTAGAAACAAAGCCCACAATAAAAGTACAACAGTTAAAACAAAATTTTTGTATGATGTAGACATCGTCAAGAATCAACAAAGAACCAGCTGTGCACAAGAAGGTTGTCCTTCAAGGTACTTCTGCACATATAAACTCCAACTTTGCTTCCTTAGAATCTCAAGCTTTAATTAGAATAAAGTAGCAACAGACTAACTCAGGGACAGAACTATCCTTGCCCATGGAAACCAGAGGTAAGGGCTTTGCAATTTTTTTTCAGTGTACCCTCTAAAGTTCAGGTATTGTAGATGTGATGGCATCAAAAGGCAGGTTCCCAAGAGGTGATTAAGCTATCAAAGTTTCTTCCTTGGACAATTAAGCCCTTATAAAAGGAGCTTCAGGAAGCATTCCACTAATTTGCCCTTCTGCCATGAGAGGACACAGCATTTCTCCTTGTTAAGATATAAAAATAAGTTACCACTATTGGCTAGGGATATAGTTCAGTCAAGAACACATATGGCCCTGGGTTCAATCTCTAGTGGAGAGAGGAGATTTCAGTTTTTTATAAACTGCCCAATGCATGTTGTGACAACATAAAATAAACTAAAATTGCCTCAAAGCAAAAAAACATACATTTATCACTGGAACAAACAGCTTCACCTTGGGTAGTTCTTAGGGGACCATGAGGGAAACTTTCAGACAGAAGGATACCATGGGAAGAGAGCTCAGGCTACTACCACAAAGCATCTTAGAATAAAAAAAAATGTGTCACTCAAAAACCAACTTGCTTTTTTGATCACAGAGAGTTGGATCAAACAGAAGTGGCAAATACAAACACTTGGGAATGGATCCAAACAGGCATTCTGACCATACTTCAGGGTCAACCCTTCCTAGAAGGCCTCCTGCTAAGCCTGGGTGTGGCTGGAATTTGCGAATGTAACTTGTGTTCTTCTTTATATGATATAGAGAAGCAGCTGTTTGGAGGTCTCAAGAAAACGATCTAGTAAGAAGTACTGAGAGGGCCCTATGGCAATAGCACCCCAGAGCCAAGATATGAGTATCTTATATTTATTTTCATAGAGAACTCAGGCATTCTGCAAAAATGGCTAATTCCAGGGCTGTGCAGGGAGTGTACCAGATAAGCATGGAATCCCTGGAGGTGCCAAAGTGAGACCTCACCCAAGGAAAGGCAGGTTTAAATTTATACCAAAACCATATGGGTACGGATCAGTGGTGTGAATGCATTATGATGCACATAATTAAAACAGGCTCCATGAATCCACATGTACATACACAGATGTGACAAAAACACCCAGGGTGGGGGGTGTCTGTCTGTAACCCTCTCTGACATAAAGCAATGGAAAGAAGACTGTCCCTGGGTAAACTCCACAGTGACTGCTGTGTCAGGTAAGAAGCAGCCAGATTGTTTAAACTAATGTAAAAAAGAATAACAGAAAATGTGGTATTTGCTGCCTTGCAGAATGACCTGGAAGGTCCCACCTAAACAGTGACCCAGGATGGCATCACAACAGTGGCAGATCTCATATAAAACTGGGCTAGATATATCAAGGACCCATCCCTGCCAGGGATTTTTACTTTAGGTTTTATTGTTTTGGGGGTTTTTGGTGTATGTGTATGTGTGCATATGAGTGCATGTACCACAGTACAAAGGTGGAGGTTGGAAATGACCTTTGAGTCAAGTCTTCTCCTTTCACTATGTAGATTCTGGCAATCAAGATAGGTGGTCAGGCATGATAACAAAACTTTTTAAAAGTCTAAAATAGTTTCAAAATGCAAAGTTAAACTAATTTTAATTAAAATTTACTCATTGCTTTAAAAAACTTAACAGGAAACAGATACCCAAGGCTAAGCTGGGTGGATAGGGAATTGGGAAGTCAGTCTAGGCAACAGACTGAGACCCAATCTTGTAAAAAGGAAAATAACACAGGAACTTAATCATGCAAAGGTAAAGCTGGGTCTAAAATGCCTTCCTGTGTCTAGCTGGGAGGCTAACTCCTCAGCAACTATAAACTTGAATAGGAAACTGATAAAAACAACCTCACTGCCCTGAGGTCTGACTGCCTTATTTATGACTTCTGAATTCTCAAACTACACTCTCCATGGTATTTGTGTATGTGCCCTACAATCACTCTGCATGTATCTGTTCTATTGTCTGATATGACAGTAAGCCACTGAAGGGTAAGGCCTGAAGCACCTTTGCATTTCTAGAACCACTGGTATTCTACATTCAGTTATGAACTTGACAAATGGTTCAACAGCAACAAAAATTAGGCAAAGTTGGAAGAGAAAAAGACTGAAAGTCAAAGTAGTGAAAACTTATAGTATTTACTCAGTGAAAAGCCAAAGATATCACGATGCCTATGCATCTGTGGGAAACTTTGAGAAGCACATCAGAGACAAGGCCTCCACAGCAGTTCTCAATGCAGTAAATTAAGCATAGTGTAGTTAAAAAGATTAATGATTAAAAAAAAATGAAAGCACAGTTGTAGGCCTTATATAGAAACACCACTGAAACCAAAAGGACTTAGCCAAGGCCCAAGGTGCCTTCCATTCAGGGCACAGCCATTTGCTCACCTCTGCTCACTTCTAGCAGAGGGACTAGAACTCATGGTTAGACATAGGGTGGCATCCAGATGAGTCATCACTTGAAAAAACCAATCTGAGTTCAGACCCAAAACTGTCCTCACCAGAGCTGGAGATGTGTATATCTGATGCAAGAGAGAAGAAACAGACTAAAGTCCGGGACCAAGACAGCAGTGGAGTCCCTGCATTTGGTCAGACACCTGCACGCACAGGGCCAGGACAACCACTCAGCTTCCTCTGCCAGGAGTGTTGCTGTGAGCTGGGTCTTCACTGGTGGTAAGTCAGACTACGTTCCTCAAAAAGGTAGTAATAGTGTGCAAATCTACTCAGTGAGGGAATACCACGTCTAGCATGCACAAAGGTTTCAGTTATCAGCATTTTAGTCATACTTACATGTGCATACACATACACATTGATGAATACTACAGAAACAATTCTCAGAACAGATACCTATGCTCAGCTACCATTATTCCCATACTTGTCCTACTCTGGCCAAACAGACCCAAGGCCTCACCAGGTTTTTAGTCAGATTACAAATGAGTCATAAGGCATACATATAAACCCTTGGACTGGATAATTTTTGTCAACTTGATACCAATTACAATCACCTAGGAAGAGGCACCCTCAATTGCTTCCATCGTATTGGCCTATAGGCTTGTCTATGGGGCATTTTCTTGATAAATGATTGATGTGAAGAGCCCAGCCTACTATGGGCAGTGCTGACCTTGGGCATACCATCCTGGATTGTAAAAACAGAAAGTTAGCTGAGCAAGCTATGGGAAGTAAGCCAGTAAGCGTGTTCCTCTATGGTTTCTGCTTCTGTTTCTGCTTCCAGGTTTCTGACTTTCAAAGTCTCAGTGATAGTTTATGACCTGGCAGTTGTAAACCCTTTCTTCCCCAAGTTGTTTTTGGTCATGGTGTTTATTAGAGCAACAGCAACCAAACTAGAATAACTCTCTTTCCCTCTCTTCCTCTGCCTGTATGAATCATAGAAAACATTAATAACATATTACTAATCAGGAGACCTAAAAACTCATGCCTGGCTGGTGGAAAAGGAAACAAGAAGGCTAGGCCAACTAGAGGAAATGCTCTGTGCACTTGAAGAATGGCAGTTCAAGGCCAGTCTGGTCTACAAAGCAAGTTCCAGGACAGCCAAGGCTATACAGAGAAACCCTGACTCCGGGGGAAGGGGGGAAAAGACTCACTAACAGTTGCACACTCTTCCAACCCATTAGGAATCACAAGTCTTCTATGCCTGACAGCAAGATATAATCTATACAGATGGAGCCCGGGCTTTATTGTACTCTGAAAAGAAAAAGATCCCTTTCACATCTGTTTGAATGATTTTACAACTACCCTAACAAGTCTTGAATGTACCTATTTCATTCACTCTATGGATAACAAGGGTTGAATCATGTAAACATGTCAGTCACACCAACCTGGAATGGGGCAGAACTTAGCCTATCAGCCATAAGAAAGAGCCATACCAGTCATAGGAATATAAAGAAACAAGTCTGTAGCCCATTAGAAATGTCTCCTTTTCTAATCTTCTGGAAACACTTCATGATTTAAATTCCTAGACCTCATTCTTGTGTTGAGCTTGTCCTTACTAGACTTGGCAAGGTGTATCCATCTCTACAGTGAATTAACTATTAAGAGGATAAGGCTCGCTGGGCGGTGGTGGCGCACACCTTTAATTCCAGCACTCGGGAGGCAGAGGCAGGTGGATCTCTGTGAGTTCGAGGCCAGGCTGGTCCGAGAGCCTCCAAAACAATACAGAGAAACCCTTTTTTGTAAAACCAAAAAAAAAAAAAAAAAAAAAAAGAGAGAGAGAGAATAAGGCTCACTGATTAAGTCAACATGCCAAAGAAGTCATCTAAAATAAGAAATGTAAACAAAAATGTTCACTACAGTGTTATTTACAATAACAGAATCTGCAAGGAATAAAAAAATCATAAACAAGAATGGATAAATAGGCTGGGGAATCAGCCTGGTAGTAAATTCCTTGTTTAGCATGTACAAGACCCTGGAGATGGATGGACACACCAAGACACACACACCAAGACACACACACCAAGACACACACACACACACACACACACACACACACACACACCAAGGGACACATCTACTACAACCACTCAATTCTATTACTGGGTCAACAATCAGCCCCAATAGCACATAAAAGAATGGACATGGCTGCAGCACATTTATAGACATTTGTTGTTTTAATAAGCAAAAGGACTCAGCAGTTAAAAGCATTGGCTGTTCTTCCAAAGGGTTCAGGTTCAATTCTCAGCACCCACGTGGCAGCTCACCACCATCTGTAATTGCAGTTCTAGGGTATCTGGAATCTTCTGTCCTCTAAGGGATACATTGCATGCACGTGGTATGAATACACATACATATAAAGCTAAAACAAATAAATCCTTTAAAAATGATCACAATGAAAAACACATCTTGTAGGAGGAGACTTTAGGACTGCTCCGCTAGCCATGCCCACTTTGGGCACGAGTAGAGACACATATGGATGTGGTAATGAAGGGGTGGTGAACTATGCCGCTAACCACACCCACTTTGGGCGAGGCTAGAGGTGTGTACGGAGGTGGTAATAAAAGTCCATGCAGGAGAAACGCATGCTCTCTTTTCGGCTTCCGGTTCTGTGGCAGAAAGCTAGGGACTCACCTTGGTTGCCCGTTTTCTCTTGTAAGTAATTTCTACAATAACAGTTGCCTATACCCTCAAAAAGTGTGCTGCTTATTGTTACAACGACAACATCTGATGTTAATGAAAGTGTATTCATAAATAACTACAAGGCTCTGAGAAGCAAACTTCCAAGTGAAGGCAGCTGGCCAGGCACAGCCATATCAGTAGACAGTGGGTCTGGGAATTTAGCTCTAAGTTAGGTGTAATATCTCCTGGATGATGGGGATAGGTATCTATGTGTCCTTCTGTACTTGGGCACACCCACCAAATCAGTCACTGCATAGCCAAGGAAGGAAAGGCCCCAAGGAGGGTCATACTCCAGGCAAGAAGTGTGCATGAAACATGACTGAGAGCCTTGGGAAAGGGGATTCATCCTAATAGCTGCAGGAAGGAGATGACAACTGCTCTAGCCACTTCTGGGGCTCCTTGATAGAACCTGCCCATTCAACAGCTACGCAGCAAAGGAAACACAAGGTAAACAGTGAGAACGCAGGATGATGACTGCTCGTGGGTTTTGTCTCATGTCTACAACTCACCTCATATAGTCCCTCAAAGAATGTGTTCTTGTCCTCTGTGCTCCACGATTCCCACTGCCTCCGGACTTTCTTTCCTTCTTCCTTCTCAGGTCCTGAAGATCCTAAGTTCCGGGAAGAGGAGCGCGAACCTCCTGCAGGGGTGGCAGGAGCAACTACAGATATGTTTCCAGAAGATGTTGCACTGCCGTCACCTCATTGGAGAGAAAAGACTATACAGTGACCTGTTCCAGAAGGCAGAGGGATAGCAGCAGGGAGGGACAGAGGGACACTAAGGACAGGGGCCCATTGCCCAACCCAACTCTAGCTCTTCAACAGGCGATGCCAGCAAAAGAGCACCCATAAGGCACTGAGTCCTGAATATAAGCCAGAGTTGACAAGATGAATCTAAAATGTTTGACTGTAAGAAGAGGGCCTTTGGATTGTTTTAACAATACAGTGAATTTGACATTTTGTTCATACTTATATAATCCTTGTCCCTCCAGCAAATCCAAGAACCATATTTCATCCTGATTCTTGTTCAAACGCTTTTTTAAAAAAATTAAAATACACTTACCAAAGTTTTTTCTTAAAGATTTCTAAAAAATAATTTATTTAACGTTATTTTATGTGCATTGATGTGAAGGTATCAGATCCCCTGGAACAGACAGTTTTGAGCTGCCATGTGGGTACTGGGAATTGAAACCTGGTCCTCTGGAAGAGCAGCCAGTACTCTTAACTATAGAGCCATTTCTCCAGCCCCTTACCACATTTTTAAATAAACAAACTGAACTTTTGAGTGACAAGGGGCATTTTATGTGTAAAACACTGTCTATATAAATAAGGTTGATATTTTTTAATATAGACCACTTAATGCTTAAGGTACTATAGTGTGAAGACTGCTGGTTGATGGGAGATGTCCTTCTGTATATATATATTTGTCTTATTGGTTGATGAATACAGCACTGTTTGGCTAGTAGCCAGGCAGGAAGGATAGGCAGGGCTACCAGACGAGGAGAATTCAGGGAAATTTAGGCAGAGAGGAGTCGCCATGTAGTGGAGGAGGGGAATAACAGGTACAGACAGACCCTTCTCTGGTAAGATAAGACCACGTGGAAATACTTAGATTAATAAAAATGGGTTAACAGTTAAGACAGAGATAGCCAATAAGAAGTCCAAACCACCGGCCAACAGTTTCAAAATTAATATAGTGTCTGTGTGTTCATTTGGAGCAAGGTGGCTGCAGAACCAGGCAGGAAATCCTGTAACACCTGGTCTCTTTTTTTTCCTCTCCAGCAATAGAAATTTGAACCCAAGTTTTTTACATGCTAGGCAAAAACTCTCCCACTGATCTTATCTCCATACAGAAGACCCCTTCCTTTATCTTTTATATATCTCAACATTATCTCTAGAGTCCTAAAATACTGCCACCCTTAAAAGTTCCAAATCCTTTGCTAACAGAGTAGCCCCCAAACTGTAAGATACCCTGGAGAGAAAATGAGTCACAGATGAAGAATTTATGCCCTAGCCTAGTGCTGTCAGCTGAGATCCTTCCTGTTGTAGGGTACAGGATCTCACAGCACCCCTATTTTAGTCAGTAATCTCCTTTTATAAAATTGCAGGACTACAAGATGTCAAGAAACCTTCTAAGCTTGAAACAATCTTATGAGGGAGAAAGTAAGACCACAGAAGTAAAAATCCTTTAAAAAGCAAATGCCAATCAACAGATTTTTCTTTTTGTTTTTTTCTTTTTTTCAGAGTCTCACTCAGTACCCAGGCTTGCCCTGAACTCATGGCAATCCTCCTGCTTCAGACTCCCAAGTACTAAGTTTACAGGCCTTTATACCAAGTCTGGATCAGAAAACTGAAAATGTTTTCCTAATGAGATAATTGTAGGTCTCTCCATCTGAAATTCAGTTTCCAGTCAGCCTGAATAGCTTCTGTGCTGCTCCTCCCCTAGGGTTTCCCTTTCCTGGGGAGTACCAATGAAACAGCTTCATAGAAGAGAATGAAAAAATTAAAAATTAAGAGTCCAGCCAGGAGGTGTTGCACACGCCTTTAATCCTAGCACTCAAAAGGCAGAGGCAAGCAGATCTGTTAGTTCCAGGCCAGCACGGTCTATGAAGCAAGCTGCAGGACAGCCAGACTTGTTACACAGGTTCCAAAAGCTACACAGAGAAACCCAGTCTCAAAAAACAAAACAATAAAGATTTTTATTCTTTATATTCTGTGTGTGTACCTGCTGTGTCTATGTATCTGTGAGTGAATGTGTGATTGCCCATAGGGGCCAGAAGAGGGCACCAGATCCCCTGGAGCTGGATTTAACACATGGTTGTAAGCTACCTGATAGGGATGTTGGGACTTGAGCTATCTGATATAGATGCTGGGACTGAATTCAGGTTCTCTGAACAAGGTGCAAGAGCTCTTAACTGTTAAACCATCTCTCCAGCTACAACTTATGTTTATTAAGTGTACTTTCAGCTTAGCATAGTCTCTACCCTATGGTGAGTTTACTAGGAGGTAACCTCACTGCGAATCAAAAAGAAGTCAGTCAGTCATATTGCAAGGTAGAATATTTGAAAATATCACTGAGAAATCTGCATATATGCATACATGGAAAACATTACAGCTAGAAAGCTACATCAAATGGGCTCTAGTCTCTCATTTAGATATGTGTGGGTTAACTTCAAGAGGCAATACTATCAGGCTTATAAAAACAACATAGAAATCAATAGTTTACCACAGCCAAACTGTCCAGTTACCTAGTAATAACCTAAATTACATAAAGCTATTTAAGTATTGATTAAGAACAAAAATCATGGTGGTGCATACCTTTAAATCCCAGCACTCCAAAAGGCACAGGCAGGCAGATCTCTATGAGTTCGAGGCCATCCTGGTCTATGTAATGAGTTCTAGGCCAGTCAAAGGTTACACAGTGAGACCTTGTCTCACAAAATAAGTGAAAATAATAAATAAATTAACAAAAACATACAAAAGAAACCTAGTTCCTTAATCTCACACCAAATTTCTAACAGTTAATGACATCACATGGCTCATGGTAACCTTCCTAGATAGTGCAAAACATTTTACTCAGAGTGGAAATTGTTAATACCATCAGTGTTGTATTTGGTACTCAGTATTTACTGCTCTGAACACAGCCACAGAATGAAAATGGACTCCAGTCTGCATCTACACCAGCAATGCTACTCAGGTCCCTGAGCTACACAGCAGGCCAAAAAAAGCTGCACAAACTTCAAGACTGCCTGTCCCTGCAGCATAACAATCCTGGGGCTTCCTAAGGTTTTTCCTACAGGCAGGGTGTGACAGCACTTCCAGGAGGCAGAAGATGTTTCTGCAGTGGACTAAAAATCAAGTCACAAATGAAAACAGTTCTGCTGGGCAGTGGTGGTACGCGCCTTTAATCCCAGCACTCAGGAGGCAGAGGCAGGTGGATCTCTGTGAGTTCCAGGCCAGGCTGGTCTACAAGAGCTAGTTCCAGGATAGGCTCCAAGGCCACAGAGAAACCCTGTCTCGGAAAACCAAAAAAAAAAAAAAAAAAAAAAAAGGGAAAACAATTCTCAAACACCAAGACATCTGGTTCCCAGGAACCCATAATTCTTCAATGCCACTGTTCAAGAAGTGCTGTCTGTCCACCTCTAAACCTCCACAATGGAGAACTTATGAGTTATTTCTAGTTTCCCAAGAAATACAAGCTCTCTCTTCTCCCCAGTAACAGCATGCCAGTCAGCCTATTCTTTTGACACCACTCAGGTTAACTCCTGTTAGTCTGTGTTGGCACCTGCATGGTCAGAAATAACAGGTACCACTTTAAAATCCCAGAAGCTACATGTCTGACAAACGTCATGAGAATTTACTGTTTCATTGGTGACCTGGATAAGGGAGAGTGAAACAAAGGAAAGCAGAATGGACGCCAATATGAGGTAGAAGGAACCTCAGGGACAGAGTAGACCAAATCTCAATCCAAAGCATGAATCTACATCAGTGAAAAGGGCTGATCTGGCAAGCAACTCCTCAGAGCAACAGCCACCATTCCAAAGACCTGCCATTTGCTTTGAGATATTTGGCCCTAACTTCTGTTATTTCAAAAGTACTGTATCCTCAGGAAGGAAATTAAGACAACCTGGATATTCAAAAATAAAAGCAAATCACTGTATGTAACCATTTCTAGCATTTACTATGTATCATCTTAGAACTCAAAGTTTTGGAGAAAGAACATTGACACCTAGTCTTCCTCCAAAATTTCAGGTGAAGACAAAATAACCCAGAGACAGATATTCAAACTTCAAGTTGAAGGTCAGAAAAGCAAAGTAGTGGGCCACTAGCTCTTACCACTACCTCAAGCTGAATGGGCTGATCCTGTTGCCTCTCCTCAGAGTGGCTGGAGAATCCTTAGACTGACCGTCTTCCTATCAATGTAACTGAAGAATGAATGCTTGATCCTCAATGTGGCTGGAGAATGAATGCTCAATACTGAGACCTTGCTCCTGTCTTATATACCTCCCTAATGCTGGGATTAAAGGCGTGTGATTCCAGGTGCTGAGATCATCTTTGTGTGAGCTGTTACTCTTTAGGACTGGATCAATCTTGTATAGGTCTAGATGGGGTCTTGGACTCACACCTCCTAGCTTCTGGCTGCTGGAATTAAAGTGTGTGCCTGGCTTCTATGAATTATGGCTGACTTTGCTTTCTGAATCCTCAGGCAGGATTTACTAAATCATAGATAATAAATACGTCACCACAGTGAACAGGAAAATAGCAGAAATAAAAATGTATAAGATGATGAAATGACTTCAGGGGACTTGAGGACTGGAAGCTTCCCCAAGGTGCAGAGGCCAAGGCTCCACGGGTGCTTTTGAGAACACAGAGGACTTTGCTGACAGCATGTATGACAAATGTAAGTGTCCCTGAAATATGAAGAGACATGGTGTATACAAATAGGCTCCCCAATGAACAGCCCCCTAAAAGCAACGCCAAGGTCTTGTTCTCCCAGGTCTAAACTTGGCACCAAGCTTCAGGCAACAGAAGCTCAGTGACAGCTCAGGAGCAGTGGAGGCAGACAAGAGGCCACTAAACACAGGCTTGGTCCTGGCCTCCTGTGCCTCAGTGTCCAAACAAGCACACCCAGGCTCCAAAGACCCTACCACAAAACCCATTCCTGCCTCTCACCAACATCAGTGCCTCTATCCTCCAGAGG